AATCTGGTTTTCCATGATATGTGCCCTTTAAAACACACTTATTTAAAGCTATAGTTTGGCCGAAAATCAAAGTGGCTCTGGTTAAGTATACACTCTGCTAGGGGTGGGCAATAAGACAATCGTTATTGTGATAAATTATGTCATAATACGCTTTTCTGAGCATATCCTGGATACCGTCAGTACTTAAAAAGAACTAAATAGCTATAAATCATTGTAAAGTGAGCATAAATGGGCCAGTTTAAGTGGATTTAGTGCAGTTTAGTTTGTAAAACACTGAATAAATATAACTGTAGTTGTGGGTTTATTATTAAGTTTTATATATCATATATATTATATATCAGACAGGTTTGGTGTCTGAGGTTTGCTTCTTTACCTTTAGCACTGGAGCTACGAGGCTGATGTGGTAATACTCGAAGTCTGTACTTCACTAATTGGCAGGGTGCGAACTGCACGCCTAAATTACACACTTGCCTCAAACTTTGTTTAGTTGTTAAAGGTGAATTACACCAATTTGTACCACAATTAAATGGTTAAGATCTAAACAGAATCGTACACAGTGGTTTGGTGTGAAACGCTCTGTTCTAGAGAAACTGACCGGGTCAGAACTGTTCACAGTGGAGGTGATAGGAACCAGACGTCCACCTCTAAAAGCTCCCTCACAGAAAGTTACTACATGAAATGGTTCTGAATTCACTGCCTGATGACTGAGACACTGTTTTATGATAGTTTTGAGAAGATTTTGGCCTTAAACTCCATTCATGGTGGAGGGAAACATAATATGCAGGGCGCTGTGAGGCAAAATAGTCCCCAAAGAAAAATTATTATTTCAGATTTTCCACTATTTTCCATCATCAACATTCCATATAAACTCAGAAGACTCGTGTAGGTTCACTGGTGGTTCTGGATAGTAAATAAAATGTCTATATTTGTGTTGTAGTCATGGCGACCCCTGGTTCCTATCACCACCACTGTAAAGACATCTGAACCATTTCACACCAAACCACTCTGAATCACTCTGTTTACACCTCAAACACTGAATTATGCAGAATATTTTGAATGTTGGTGGAATTCCCCTTTAATGCATGCACTTACAAGGCCACATTGGCACTGTATTATTATCTCAACCACTGAATTATTCAGGATTTTATTTAGGATTTCTTTAAAAGGTCTATGTATGTATATATAAACATGGGCTTAGGTACAAAATACAGTGTCAGGAACCACAAAGTCCAGTGGGATTATTTATCAGGTGGGCTGTGTTTAGGGTAAGGGGGGAATTATGAAAATGAGATTTTTCGTCTAACCATCGCTTTAATGTAAACCATCCGCATCTACCAAGACTTTTATTCTGCCTTTTATTTTTCTGTGAAATTATTATTATTTTATTTTAACCTGTTTGTGTTTTTGTGTCAACCGTCCTGTAAAGACCTTGGCAAAGCAGTTCATAATATTGCTGCTGTCGGAACAAAACCTCGTATCTCCAAAACGGGAACTTTACAGGAGAAGGGAAAAACTGACTTTACTTTTAATGTAAGTCAATGGAACCAGACGGTTTTCCAAGTCATTCTGGGTCGTTTCTTTTGGTCCATTCATCGTGAAATTAGCACACAATGTAAAGGACAACAGGTATTTTCACATTATGTAAAAAACTCAAATACAAAAAAAATGAGATTCAAGGTTTTGTTCCGACAGCAGCGATATTATTATTATTATCATTATTATTATTAGTGAATATATGGACTGGCTGAGGGTCTCTGAGGACCTGACTGAGAACAGCTGCTTTACTGAACGACTCTCTGTCCTGCAGCGGTCAGCGCTGTTTGGATGCTTCGCACAAACTCATCTGTGTTCCTTGTTTTGTTAGCTGTATTGTTATATGATGAGTCTATTATGGTGTATTTATTTATTTATTCTAAATGAGATTTCAGGGATGAAAAGCCATTCCTCCACTGGAAATACCTTTATTACATTAGACTGCCATTAAACCTCAATACCTTATACACGTGTGTGTAAATATACATACATATACACATATATATATATATATATATATATATATATATATATATATATATATATATGTATATATATGTAAAGTCAATCAATTATATAGCACACTACTATATTTCATGCAAAGCTGTATCTAAATCTCTCTACACTCTTAAAAAAGATGGTTTTTCAATGGTTCTTTAGCAAAGAAAATGGTTCTATATAGAATCATGAACACTCAAAGAACCCTTTGCATAATTAAGAGTTCTTTGTATCATAAAGGCGTTCTTCAGATTGATGGAGAATGTGCTGTAGATGGTTCTATATAGCACCAAAAAGGGTTCTGCTATTGTTGCTATGTGAAGCTTACAACAATAGAAAAATCCTTTTTGGTGCTATATAGAACCACCTGCAGCACATTCTTCATCTGAAGAACCATTTCACCATGCAGTTGGTTCTTTGAGTGTCCATGGTTCTATATAGAACTATCATCGGCTAAAGAACCCTTGAAGAACCATCCGTTTTTTTGAGAGTGGACTCAGTTTTCCTCTGAAGTGTTGATGTTGTGAGAAGCCGGAATGGAATTTATTTACACTTAATACAGCACAGCATGTTCCTGCTTTAAAGGGGAGCTCCACCAATTTTTCAGAATTTCTGTATAATTAAATGTTTAAGATGTAAACAGAGTCATTCCAGTTGGTGTGAAACGCTCTGTTCTAGAGAAACTTACAGAGTCAGAACTGTTCACAGTGGTGGTGATAGGAACCAGACGTCCACCTCTAAAAGCTCCCTCACAGAAAGTTATCGGACAGTAAATAAAATGTCTATATTTGTGTTGTAGTCATGGCGACCCCTGGTTCCTATCACCACCACTGTAAAGACATCTGAACCATTTCACACCAAACCACTCTGAATCACACTGTTTACATCTCACATGCTGAATTATTCAGAAATTTAGAAATATTGGAGGAATTCCCCTTTAAGCTTGTAAACACTGCTCAGATCCTGTGTGATTAAGCCAAAGGAAACAGCTGAGACAGTTCCCTCAGATACAGCAAGGGAGAAACCTTGAGGTGAACCTTTTTACTCCTCTAATTAGGTTAATTACAGGTGAAAGAAAACTGCCTTTCATTCGGGTCACATAGTTAACTGTGTTTGTTTTGGTCATAATGAGATGAAGTGAATAAAACTGTATATGAATTGTGTTTGGAGATTTGTTTGTATGATTGCTGTGGTGTTGAAATACTGCCTCTGCATTTTATATGAGTGGAGAATGGACTGTTTAATCCTGCTGTGTGAATAAAGAGATTTATATATCATTAAAACTGCCTGAGTAATGTCTCATGTCCATTTTAACAACTGAATTTAGTGTGATGACATGTTGAAATGCCACACAACTTATTCTGATTGGTCTAAAGTCATGAAACTCTGTGTGGTTACATCTTGCATGTGCATCATTTTCATATTAATACATCGATTTAATATTTTTTGTTAACAATCAGTAGTCCAACGTGACCAAAAGACTGAATTTAATAATGAACAATGACAAAAATGTGATAAAAAGTCTTTTTTTAGCTATTTAGTGTGAAAAAAATTAAGATTCATGATTAGACAAGATATTTATGAACCAAAGGAAACTTAGCATATCATATATGCACATTAATAAACAAACATACTGCATATTTCATATGCTAGAAGGGCCAGTAGGTGGAGTAATTTACCTGTGCATGGTTACCGTTCATCAGGTGAACCCAAACAAACAAGAGCTGAAACTGCAGTGAAACTACTTAGTACATCAGTATCTATGAACACAGGAACTGAAGTTTGGATCCAGACAATTACTTGTTCTAGAGAAACGTACCAAGTCAGAACTGTTCACAGTGGTGGTGATAGGAACCAGACGTCCACCTCTAAAAGCTCCCTCACAGAAAGTTACTACATGAAATGGTTCTGAATTCACTGCCTGATGACTGAGACACTGTTTTATGACAGTTCTGATAAAATTTCTTTAATCCATTCATGGTGGAGGGATACATGCAGGGCGCTGTGAGGCAAAATAGTCCCCAAAGAAAACCTTTACACTATTTTCCATCATCAACATTCCATATAAACTCAGAAGACTCGTGTAGGTTCACTGGTGGTTCTGGATAGTAAATAAAATGTCTATATCTGGGTTCTAGATATGACGCCCCCTGGTTCCTATCACCACCACTGTAAAGAAATTAAAGTCGGCATGTTTCTGTTGAATGGAGCATTTTACACCGAACCTCTCTGACTTTGTTTACATCTTAACCGTTTAATTATGCAGAAATTTTGAAATATTGGTGGATTTTCCCTTTAAGTGTGTAAAAGGGAGCTATACAGCTATTACCCACAGGTCTCAGAACGGCAATTTATCTGCTCTGATAGGTCAACTGAACCCAGGTGAGATGCATCTGAGCTGGAAAATCACATTTGCTAGTTTCTGGACTCCAGGGAAACTCCACCTATTTTTCAAAATTTCTGCATAATTCAGTGTGTGAGATGTAAACAGAGTGATTCAGAGTGGTTTGGTTAGTCTCCTTTACAGTGGTGGTGATAGGAACCAGGGGTCCAAAACCACCAGTGCACCTACAAGTCTTCTGAGTTTATATGGAATGTTGATGATGGGAAATAGTGGAAAATCTGAAATAATAAGTTTTCTTTGGGGACTATTTTGTCTCGCAACACCCTGCATATGATGTATCCCTCCACCATGAACTGATTTTAAGGCCAAAATCTCTCAACATTTCAGTCATCAGGCAGTGAATTCATAACCATATTATGCAATAATTTTCTGTGAGGGAGCTTTCAGAGGAGGACGTCTGGTTCCTATCACCACCAGTGTGAACAATTCTGACTCCAAACCACTCTGAATAACTCTGTTTACACCTTAACCATCTAATGACAGAGAGATTTTGAAAAATGGATGGAGTTCCCCTTTCGTATCTCACTTCCTGCCCACCGTTGCCACTCCCTCCTGCTCACCTGAGCCTTACCTGCCCACATAAACACATTCACAGGGTGTTAGCTGGAGGCTAATGCCAGCTTGAAGACCCCAAAAAACTGCTAAAAAGCTACTTGTGCAGCATGGAGGAGGTGATTGGAGGTCTTGGCCGGTGCTCCTGGGCCTTCTGGCTGGCCGTGGTGTTTGACACTCTGGGCTTGGTGGTGCTGCTGCTGGGCGTCTTCGCTGACCTGTTCTTCTACGACTTTCTCATCTACGCAGGAGCTATCGTGATCTTCCTCAGCCTCATCTGGTGGGTCTTCTGGTACACGGGCAACATCGAGGTGCCTCCCGAGCAGCTGGAGGACGACGTGGGCCTGCTGAAGAAGGACAAGGGCCTGGGCGGAGTGCTGAGGAGGGTCTCCAGTCGGCTGTCCAGCGGGATCAGAGCCTCTCTGAGGAGAAACACCCCCAACGGCGCCAGAGCGGCCAAACGAGGCCCGGTCACTTTGGCGATGAACCCAGAAGACCTGAACACTGTCTGTGACTCTGTGGCTGCTGTGGAAAGTTCACACACTTCAGCTATATGATCCACATTCATCCTTTCACTGGTGCTGCTGGCATGAAAGAGGATGGATGCCTTGTTTTTAGTTTATGGCTTGAAAATATGCTCAATATCAGCATAGTAATAGCATTAATAGTGTTTCTTGACTCATTATGAGGTGCACTTTGTGACATGTTCACGTAGCTGAAGCTAACTTCTCATTCGAATTTTCCGTTCCACCTTAAATGGTACAGCAGTTGCGTTCTGGCGCCTGAGGCTGCACCGTTTAAGGTGGAACGGAAAATTCGAATAAGAAGCTAGCTTCAGTAACGCTTGCTTGTATCTACACTCTTTAAAAAAGATAGTTCTTTAAGGGCTCTTTATTAAAGGGAATTGTTCTATTTAGAACCGTGGTTCTATTTAGAGCCTGTGGCGCCAGAATGCAGCTGCTGCACCATTTAAGGTGGAACGGAAAATTCGAATAAAGGAGCTAGATTCAGCAACGCTTGCTCGTATCTACATTCTTTAAAAAAGATGGTTCTAAAACGGGAATGGTTCTATTTAGAACAATGAGTTCTAAATATTACCATCTCAAGCTTACGTGGATGTTCAGATTGATGGTGAATGTGTTCTATATGATTCTCTTCAGAACCTTTTTGGGAACAAAAAGTTCTATATAGCACCAGAAATGGGTCTTCTGTTGTTTACAGTGTCAAGCTTGAGACACCAGAAGAACTTTTTTGGGTGCCTTTTCCAAAAAAGGACTATATTGAACCATATGCAACACGTTCTCTATCAAGCTGAACGACCATGGTTCTATATAGAACTTATGGCTCCAAATAGAGCCACTCCCTTTGCTAAAGAACCCTTAAAGAACCATCTTTTTTAAGAGTGTAGGCCTGAAATTTCAGTGTATACTGATGAGCTGTGCTTTGTTGGCCTTTTGCCTCAAAAACAATGAGAATTTCATATGTCGAGGTTGAGGAAGTTGAGAAATGAGAACATGATTAGTTGCACTACTTATCGTTCTGTTAACCATTAACTCCATTATACCAAAGCCTTGCCCTGTGAAAACACCCACACCTACCTGATGGAAAAATGAGGTCTAACAGCTTTTATTAGTGTTATTGCTCTGGAGTTCATATAGTACAAAATAGTAATTAATCCAAGACTGAATTAGACAGAACTTTATTTTATATTCAAGAAAATGTGCAACAACACATATTTAGCTTTGAGATTTACTGGATAAAGTAAAAAAAGCTTGTGTAGATCAATGTTTTACAGTGTAAATGTTCAGGAATTTTTTTTTGTAGTTTATGCTCATTTGTTTACATTCTGTTGACAATGTTGATCTGATTATTATCTGTTTTAATTAATTTAGTATTACTCAGGGTTGAGAAGATTAGTTTTCAAAATATGTTCATACACAGGTTATTGATGACCTGATCAATAATATAATAGTATAGTATATAAGTAGTTCATCCTGATTTGTGTCCATCTATATTTTAATTGTAGTAAATGACATTTAAATGATTTTTTTTTTTACATTTTCCTAAATGTAAATGTATGTTTATTTGCTGTTTTTTTTCTGCGTTGTGACTTTAACAGTCATTTTTTAATATATATATGTATGTTTTTTCCACGTGTTTGTATTCAGTTACTCATAAACAAGGCACATAATGGTCAAAATTGTCAACACTGACTATGGAGGCCTTATAGAATAATGAATAAACAGAAGTGTATTTTTCTAAATGCAATGTTTCAGACTGATTTGTAGGCTTGTTTGCAGTGTCGAAACGTCTTTTCTGTGTAAAATGATGTGAACAACCTTTGGACAGTAAGAAGTATTATATAGGGACTTCCTCTTATCTCTTGTTTGCTCATATAAATTTAGGCTGCTGATGTGCGGAGAGGGTGCTACAACGCCGGCTGTTTCGGAGAGCTTTTTTTTCTTCCTCCCTGTTTGTTTTTTAACCAGAGTTTAGGCTACTGTTGGGCTGTGTGCTAAGATTTGTCAGTAATCTGTAATTCAGGGTCTTCACAGCTACAAGTACACACAAATAAATTAAAAATTAAGATGAACTGAAAAGGTGGAGTGGGTGTAATAATAATGATAATAATAATGATAATAATAAATGTTAACATTGCTCACTTTCATGACATAATTGATTTAGAGAGGTTTGGTGTGAAATGGTTCAGATGTCTTTACAGTGGTGGTGATAGGAACCAGGGGTCGCCATGCCTACAACACAAATATAGACATTTTATTTACTATCCAGAACCACCAGTAAACCTACATGAGTCTTCTGAGTTTATATGGAATGTTGATGATGGGAAAATAGTGGAAAATCTGAAATAATAAGTTTTCTTTGGGGACTATTTTGCCTCACAGCGCCCTGCATATTATGTATCTCTCCACCATGAATGGAGTTTAAGGCCAAAATCATCTCAAAAATGTCATGAAACAGCGTCTCAGTCACCAGGCAGTGATTCATAATGTTGTTATGTACTTTATTGGTTCTACCAGGAAAATGTGTCATTTTGCTGCTCAAGCTGGGAGCAGCACCGCCTGAGGCAGTGGGGGGTTAAGTGCCTTGCATAATCAGGTATACCTAGTCATTCATGTAATGCATTTCATACCATTTCATGTAATGACTTTCTGTGAGGGAGCTTTTAGAGGTGGATGTCTGGTTCTTATCGCCACCACTGGGAACGATTCTGACCCAGTAAGTTTCTCCAGAGCAGAGTGTCTCACACCACTCTAAACAAACTTTGTTTACATCTGGACCATTTAATTATGCAGAAATATAGCCTATAGGCCTCTGGGTGATTCCATGAATGGGGTGCTGCTTGTGTTTCACTGACATTACATTTGCTAATATGTATGTAAAATAAAGAGGCAAGACATTTTCAACACAAACAAAGTGTCCTACACAATAACCTTTGTGAAGATAAACCCTTCAGCACTTAGACAACAGTCCCAGGCCTCTAAAGCTACACTTTACCTTAAAGTATGATCATTAAAATACTTCAAAAATTTGCATTGATGTGTCGTGGTTCCCTCCTGAATCCCGTAATGTGCTTTAATAATTTGGGTGTATTGTAGATAGATTGATCCCGAAGGAAATTTAGCATTAAGAAATTGTGTTAAGCCCTTGTGGATGACTGTATGACTTTATGTATTTATTTAATTATTATTTGTCACTTATGTTATATGTAGGTGTGTATGTATGTGTGTATATATATATATATATATATATATATATATATATATACAAGAGAGGGGAGGGGGGGTTTATTAGTCTGAATGTGTCTTTCTAACATTTGTCAGTGTTTTATTAACAAACTCAGAAATAAACTCTTCAAAAAATACTTCAAAAATCGTATTATTATCTTACTCTCATGTGGATCTGTTGAAAATCGTATGCTTGAAACATCCTTTATTGTGAGTTATCCATTATAAGCTGTAAAACAAATGTATATTTCAGTCCCCTAACATTCACTCAACCATTCCGGCCTGGCATGAACATGAATTTGCGCAGTCTGCACAGTCTGTATGTTCTGAACGTTACTGGAAGAAAAAAGTACATTTTTCTGATTCTCCTTTCTTTGTTTATAATGATATTTTGATATTAGAACGTCCCTAACAACATCTCGTTAGCATGGATGCTAATTAGCCATTTCGGTTGTTGCTAAATGCTATGATGCTAAAAATTAAACCTTGCTACTCTCATTCTGATACACGTTTAAGCCACAGTCAGCAAATACATCTTAATAAAAATTCGATATTGATCCTGAGATGGGTTACACATTTTTAAAAAATGATTTAACAGTTTAATTTGTGAGAATCACAGGGGCTAAATGGCTAAGTGTGGACAGTAAACAGTACTGTATCATAATAAAAGTACCAATTGAAGCATAAAAAGTGCTAAAAATAGTATAAGAATGTTAGTATAATTTTTATTATTTCTCCAGATATCATATTATTATTTTCTCCAGATTATTTTTGTTTTGATATTTATGGAGAGTGAGTGTTGTCTGTTGTGGCCGGTGTTTATCCTCCAGGCCGGTCGGGGGCGCTGTGAGGGTGCGGGTTTCCTCCATATTTCTTGTTGTCGGCATGCTGCATGTGCCTCCGCAGCATGTAGGATTATTTAAAGCTGTAAATGAGCGCGTTGGTCAGCACGTTTAAGACTCGCTGGTACGTATCTGTATATTTTATTCTGTGTGTTTGGAGCCTCTTGAGTAGCGGAGACGCGCTAGCGGTCAGTCAGTCAGAGTGAAGGAACGAGTCTGGGCATGTTTATGTTTATCACAGCGGCAGCGGGGCTGGACTCACTTTCAGCGCTGTTCAGAGTGAAAACACAGAAAATGTTCGGGTAAAATGTCAATATTCTGCCCGCAAAGTCAGGTAGACTCAGAATCCAAGTGCTTTCCTTGTTGACACAGTTCGGTTAAACTAGATTTTCGCTGGTTTTTCGCAGTTTACTGTGTGATTCAGTGGCTGGGATGTTAACAGAGTCATTCAGAGTGGTTTTTGGTTCTTCACACTGATGGGGAATGTGTTCTCTAGGGTTCTATATGGAAGCCTTTTTGTAGAGGGCTCTGTATAGCATTCAGAACAGGGTTCTTCTTTTGTGATTGTAATACAAGCAGAACTCTTTTTGGTGCCATATATGTGTATGTGTGTGTGTGTGTGTGTGTGTGTATGTATGTATGTATGTGTGTATGTGTGTGTATATATAATGGGTATATGTATATGCATAGAAATGTTAGCCCAGAACTATCATAAAACAGTGTCTCAGTCATCAGGCAGTGAATTCATAACCATTTCATGTAGTAACTTTCTGTGAGGGAGCTTTTAGAGGTGGACGTCTGGTTCCTATCACCACCACTGTGAACAGTTCTGACTCGGTCAGTTTCTCTAGAACAGAGTGTTTCACACCAAACCACTCTGAACCTCTCTGTTTACATCTTAACCATTTAATTACGCAGAAAATTTTGATAAAATGGTGGAATTCCCCTTTAATTCTGCTACGCAGTAGCAGTGATATCAACACATCGCTTACATTTAGGTTCAAGTCTCTTATAGATCTGGTTCTAAACTGTATATTTTCCACAAAGGCTCTCAGAATATGTTACTTAAGAACAAAACAGGTGTCACACGGTGTTAAATTATTACTGATTTCAGTTTTAGACGTTTATGCCATAAGACACCTGTAAAATCCCAAATATGTTTATTGCTTATGAGTCATTTCAAAGTCCCCAAAGAAAACCTATTTATGATTTTCCAATATACACAGTACATAATGTAGTGTAACCACTGTAAATGGTTCTTGTGTATCTATCTATAGATATTAGAACCAGATCTATAAGAGACTTGAACCTAAATGTAAGGTATGTCAATATCACTGCTACTGTGTAATAGAATTAAAGGGGAATTCCACCAATTTTTCAAAATTTATACGTAATTAAATGGTTAAGATGTAAACAGAGTCATTCAGAGTGGTTTGGTGTGAAATGCGTCGTTCTGGAGAAACTTACCAAGTCAGAAGTGTTCACAGTGGTGGTGATAGGAACCAGACGTCCACCTCTAAAAGCTCCCTCACAGAAAGTTACTACATGAAATGGTTATGAATTCACTGCCTGATGACTGAGACACTGTTTTATGATAGTTTTGAGAAAGTTTTGGCCCTGACTTGTATTTTTGGGTCCGCAAAGAAAACTTATTCCATATTTTCCACTATTTTCCATCATCAACATTCCATATAAACTCAGAAGACTCGTGTAGGTTCACTGGTGGTTCTGGATAGTAAATAAAATGTCTATATCTGTGTTGTAGTCATGGCGACCCCTGGTTCCTATCACCACCACTGTAAAGGAATCTGAACCATTTCACACCAAACCACTCTGAGTGACTTTACATTCCAACTGAAATTTGCAGAAATTTTAAAAAAACTGCTGGGATCCTCCTTTAATGTCTTAAAATGTCTTTTGGATTAAATTGTTTTGGAAGCGTGAAAGTGCTCATGTTGTGGTTACTGATTTATTTTTGATTTTACAGTTACAGGTTTAGCCGAGGTATCAGAGATCCAGCATGGAAGTGGAAAAAGATTTTTTAAACACGCCTCTAATGAAAACGGTGCGTTTTGGAGGCAGTGTGGTCAACGCAGTGGCCAAGCTGAAACAGGTGAGCTGAGTAAAGTCTTCTGAATGAAATATCCAAATAGTACCTGTCCAGTTATAACACCCCATACAAGGTGCTAGATACACAGTGTTCCAGTAACGTCTACTAACTGGCATACAGTGACCTATTATTGATCTGTCTTTTTCCTCTTTAAGGGAGATACAAGTGATTTTGAGCTGATAAAGCATCAACTTGCTGACCCAGATATTAAGGTAGGTGTGTTTTAGGTCTCTTAATGACCACAGAACATAACACAGCCCAGAAGATCCACTCCAAAGCAGTTTCTCAAAAGTTCTTTCCACTCAATATGCGGTCATATGCAAAAGTTTGGCTGCCCTGGTCAAATTACATGTTTTGTTTTCTGTGTGAAAATAACTTAACAATTCCTCTGCTGAGGACACAGCTACTAATCTGACTAAGGCTTCGTCCCATTTCACCCCTCGCCCCTACCACTCAGTCCCACCCCTCTGTTTTGCGTGTTCACATCTAGGGGTAGGGAGTCCTGATTCTTGTTGAGATAGAGGGGTGGGGTGAAGTGTTGGGGCTACATGACCTTCCAAACTGAGGTTTTTCAGAGACTCCAAACAGAGAGTTATGAGAAAAAAAGAAAAAACGGCAAGATGGAGAACAAGAGACCAGAGAAACACACAAATGTGAGAATTTTCTCTGTTAAAAAATTACGATAACCAATGTTTCATCTTAGTTTAATGTTGTTTCAGTGTATTATGGTTGTTTTCTTCATAACAAGCATAAAAAATTGCTCATGTCTCAGTAGCTAGCTAAATTTCCCATTCCACCTTAAATGGTTCAGCAGTTACATTCCTGCACCTCAGACGTCAGAATGTAACTGCTGCACTATTTAAGGTGGAACGTAAAATTTGAACAAGAAGCTGGTGAATATCTGACTTCAGCTTCATATCACTGAAGAATTAGCAGTTGGTGATTAATAAATAATTGCCCCCCCTCTTTGAAGGCATATGATGCCCTAAATGTAACTAAAGCCCAGCAGTGAGGAGCTGAACTTTTACCCTCCTCTGCTGTCACTGCAGACTGGCAGGGTCGCCTACAGAGCAGCGCTGGTAGCTGTTAATGAAGTGATGCTCTTTTTATTTGAGGGTCCCATTTCAGAGGGAAGGTTTCAACCACTACCCTGAGTTCCAAGGAGCAAGGAGACACTCGAAAACAAGGGGTAGGGGTAAAAATAAGAAATGAGACTGGGCCTGTATCTGTATATTTCTATAAGAGCTTATTGGAGATCCTAATCCAAAACCATAGGCATAAACGCCCCAGTCACCCTCGCCACCAAACTTTACAGTGGCACATGCTCTGGTAGTCTATCCCGACCGCCAAGCCCAGATTTGCCAGATAGTGACTGGGATTCACTCCAGAGAACGTTTCCACTGCTCCAGAATCCAGTGGTGGCATGATCCAGATGTATCACTGCGCATACAGTGCTGTATGTAAATGTGATCTGTTTATTCTCTTTCCTCTCGTTACAGGATGCTCAGATCATTAACTGGCTGCAGGAGTTCAGGACCTGCGTCACGCAGCTCGGCAAAGAACACGAGCAGTTAATCTACTGTGTTTTGGTAAGAGGTGCTGCCACACAGAAGACACATCCACGCCTGCCTTGTATGGCGCAGACCTATTAAAGGCTACGTTCACACAGCAGGTAAAAGAGGCCCAAATCTGATCATCTTCTTCATATGTGACTCAGATGTGTGTCTGTGTGAACAGATAAACACACTGAATCTGACATTTTCAATTCCGATTTGAGACGCTTTCATATGTGGTACTGAAATCCGATACGTATCTGATCTGCGGCAGTGCGACTCAGTCTGAACAGCCAGATCGGAATTCATGCGACTTTTACGTCAATCCAACTCAACATTCGTCATAATTTCGTGCTGCTGAGACTCAAACATTTAGGCTGATGTTTCTGAACCAAAACATTAGAAGAGACTGATCAAACCGCTCCGTGTTCGAAGAGGTTTTGACGAAACAGCCGAACGCGGCCAGAGGAGACCGAGGCTGCAGTGTCAGAGAACAGTTTAAAGAATCTGAGGACACGAACCGAAGAAGTGTCTGTGGCCGAATAACGAGCCCTTTTTACGGTGAACTCAAACACGCTGTGGGTGATGAGTCCAGCTGTCAACCACTGGAACTGCATAATTGCTCCTGTGATGCTGGCGAAAACAAAACTGAAGCTCCGGGAGCGACTGGCGTTCACTGGCCGTCATGATTGTTTATCTCTGGACGAGCCCCGTCAAGCATTGTTCTTTTGTGCATGTGGGTCAGTTTGGGAGCTGATCTGTTCAGACTGATGTCGCATACAGATCACATTTAAAAGGCAATGTGAACAACCAAACAAAAAAATCGGATTTGGTGAGAAAATCAGATTTGGGCCACTTTTACCTGCTGTGTAAATGTAGCCTTAGTTTTTCTTTAGTTCGGTGCTTGGATGCTCCACACGTCTCAGTTTGCTTCCAAATGGTCAGTCATGGTCATCAGGCTCACTGTGAATAACGCCAAACGGCATTTATTCCCAGTAAAGACAAAGCAGGAATTAAACCACAGCTGTCGGACTGAAGGCTCTGCCGTCTTTTTAAGCTACAAGAATGTGCATATTGTTCACGTGATCAGCTGATTCACGGCTCTTTAGGACGACTTCATTCATTTTAATTGTTTTACTGTTATCAATTTATATTGTTTAAAGTATGATTCAGTAATCGTTCTACTTTATTCAGGCTGTTCATTAATTTGCGGGATTTCTCTTCATGCGAGCTTCGTCCCGCTCCCGCCTGCAGTGGGCTGGTTACCCGCCCGCTCCCGCACACAACACTGAAAATTAGTCCCATGCCGCAAGATACTGTGGCGGGTCTAGCGGTAATCCGCGGGAGTGCCGACCTCCAAGACAAGGGAATTCAACCAGCTTCTTCCAGCAGCTCATCAGCACTGAACTGTCCTCATAATCTGCCTGTTAAACATCTGACTTGCAAACTCACTTTAACATTTATCACTAATGACCAAACTTTCACTAGCCTGTCACTAAAAAACAGGTCTGTCACTCATATATCACTGCTGTCAGAACTAAACCTTGTCCAGAACTAAACTATGTCCATTTTTCAGTTTTTGACATCATTAAAAAATATTGTTGCCCTTTATTTTATGTGTACATTTCATGCTGATTGGATCAAAGGAAATGGTCCAGAATTACTTGGAAAAAGTCTAGTTCCATTGACTTATATTAACCTCTTAAACTCCTTGAGACCACCGGTGGTTCCAAAACACACTTCGTCATATTCTTCATAACTTTCCATATTTCATAAGCTACATTCTAAAGGTGGGGGTCGTATGAGGCTGTAACTGTCTTCTCTCTAGTCAAATAGATGGTGATGTAATTTTAAACCCTTATAATAAAAGAAGCTGAACTCATATTTGTTTGTCTACTGAAAGTCGACTCATTTTTCCACAAATCTGGGACTATAAACTATAAACAGATGGCGTCTCTTCAGTGATCTGCTCTGTAAACATTATTTTTATAAAATAATACAAAGAGCGTCTAAGATTTTTGGCTTTTAGCAGTAAATTGTAAGCATATAGTAATATGTGTATCATAAAACACATTTTCTGTTAATTTGAGGGGAGCTTTTACAAAAATAAATAAATAAATAAAATAAAAATGTACATTTATTTCATGCAGTTACTGAATAATTTGCCTTATGATTTGGTCACGTAAATTCAGATGGACAAACCAAAATATACCCTGGAGAATAAGAGGTTAAAAGTCAAGTGTGTTTTTTACTTCTCCTGTAAAGTTACCAGTTTGGAGATACGAGGTTTTGTTCTGACAACAGCGATAAAAAGAAGTTTTCCCCAGATCGTTCAGCCCTACAGTTGGGGTTCTTTAAGTACTGACACTATACACGGTACTCTCAGAAAGGGGTAATGTGGTGGAATTTATCACGATAATGATATTGAATGTGGTCATTTCACACCCCAGTCTGATGTATGTGTGTGTTCTCTCCTGGTCAGAGGCTGCCATGGCTCGACCGCAGTCCAGCCGTGGCGGAGGAGTATCTGGCGTTCCTCAGCAGTCTGATCTCCGCGCAGACCGTTTACCTTCGGCCGTGTCTCAGAACGCTCATCTCCAGTTTCACACCGAGTGAGTTCCATTCTGATAGATCTGTAACTGATCTTATTGTTCAGTTATGTGTTTTTTCAATGGTTCTAGTAAAGAACATGGCTCTGTGTAGAACCATGAACACTCAAGGAACCCTTTGCATGATTAAAGGGTTCTTTGCATGGTACAAATGTGCTGTGGTTGATTCTATACAGAACCTTTCTGAAAAGAGTTCTATATAGCAACAAAAAGGGCTCTGCTGTTGTTGAGATGTCATGCTTTTGGCAATAGAAGCCTTTTTTTGGTGTTGTATAGAACCATTTTCAAAGGTTCTGTACAGAACCGTCTTCAGATTGATGGAGGATGTGCTGTAGATGGTCCTATATAAAATCTTTTTGAAAAGAGTTCTATATAGCAACAAAAAGGGTTCTTCTATTGTTACGATGTCAAGCTTGTCACAGTAGAAGAACCCCTTTTTCAGCCTATACAGAACCCTTTTCAAAAAGGTTATATGTAGCACCATCCACAGCACATTCTCCATCAGTTTGAAGAACCATTTAACAATGCAAAGAATCCTTTGATCGTGCAAAGGGTTCTTTGAGTGCTCACGGTTCTGTATGGAGCCATTTTCTTTAGTAAAGAACCCTTGAAGAACCATCTTTTTAGGTGTGTTGGAATGAGCAGTAAGACCTGAGCAGTGAGTCATAGTGTTTTCTGTCGTATTTTTCAGGAAGAATAAAAGTCCAGGAAGGAAACGTGGATATTTCGGATTCAGACGACGACGATGAAAGTGAGTTATGTAACACTGACTTGAAATCTGCCACCCAACACTTTGAACATGAAAGATCACAGTCAGCAGTTTAAACAATTATGTTAAGTGAATTAAGTTACAACAAATCTGTCTCACATGACCACTGAAGAACAGGGTAAAAGGGGGCTAACAAAGTATCAGAGAAACAGATGGACTACAGTCTGTAACTGTAGAACTACAAAGTGCACCTATATAGTAGGTGGAGCTGATAAAATGGACAATGAGCATAGAAACATGGAAGTGGTCAGAATGTTATGCCTGATCGGTGTAAATCATTTCATAGATTCATTTATAAGTGTGTATATAATGTTCATATAGTTATATATTTCATAGATACGTCATATTTTTCATATTAAGTCTGTCCATAAAAAGCCTTTACTGAGTCCTCAGTTACACTGTTTAGTTTCCAGCTGTACATTTACTAAATTTGGTTTCACCGCAAGTCCGTAAGTCATTTCTTAACTAGTAACACCTAACTAATGCGTACGTCGCTTTAACATGACGACAACCTGTTCAGATGATTTCCCCAGCACTTACACCTGCTGAGGGGGGTGTCAATAGTTAGTAACTACTAAGTTCAATGTTAAAACTGATTTTAACAGTTAAACGTTGCAGCTAGCCTACGTTTGAACTTGCACACAGCTGGTGCAACCGGCCACTGATTTGCTTCTGTAATGCAAATTTGTGAAAAATCTTATCTTGTCTTATCTGTCAGATCTTAAGACAAAAAGATTTCTGTAATACGGGCCAAGATGAGCCTTAGGCCCGAAACATACTTCACACAAGGATGACGCTTCAAGCTGTGCAGGTGGGAGTTTTTGCACGTAGTTGTGTTGAGAAATGTGTCACAGGGGCTCCCGAGTGGCGCAACCGTCTAAGCGTTGGCTCTGTCATCATCAGGAGATCGCGAGTTCGATCCCTGGTGATGCTACAGCCGTCTGTAGCCGGGAGTCCGAGAGAGCACAATTGGCCTCGCTCTCTCTGGGTGGGTAGGATGGCCCCTCCTTCTCCCCCCATCACTCAACGCGATGCTAGTCAGCGCTTTCCTCCGAGCGCGTTCAGCTGTCCAATGATGTTGTGTCAACGGTAGAGATGAAACGATATTAAAATTTCATATCATGATTATCATGACCAAAATTATCACGATTATCGGTATTATCGCGATATTGTTCAAATGTGTTGAAAAGTAAAATAAATAAAAAAATAAATACTGATACACAAACTGAAACTCGTTTCACCAACTTTTATATTAACACAAATAGAATTGGCAGCAATATGCACTTTTTGTTCGCATAAACATTAAAAAATAAGGTCAATGCATTTTTAGTATTACTTTTGTATTACTTACAATACTTGTAATACTCTGTAAACAAAAGAATAGCAAATGTATTATTATTACTGTTGTTATTATTATTATTATTATTATTGTTATTGTTATTACTGTTATTATTATTATTATTATTACTGTTATTATTATTCTTATTATTATTACTGTTATAATTATTATACTTATTATTATTATTATTATTATTATTAATTACAATAACTAGGGATTTCCCTGCATAGAGAATTAAATCACGACCAACTCTGAGGTGCGTCTTAATGGAAAATTACTACTTCTAAGAAGTGCTGCACTCGGGGGATTTCTGTCCGAACTGCAGTTGCAGCATATTGTGCCGTTGTGGCGCTGTACCCCTAATCAATACAGCGCACCAGGAAAAACAAAATCACAGAGGAACTGCGTGACGCGCTGTGAGCTGCAGACAGTGTAGAACTCACACAGTGTTTCTTCACCTGTGGAGCTGCTTCTCTAAAAGCATTTCAAAACTAAAACATAACTTAAAATTAACGCGCATCTGAGCTGCGGCAGAAACACTCCTGAAGTTTAATCTCTGAAACTCTGCTTTTCCTAAAATCAGCACACAGCGTTACTCGCGCGAGGTCCCGTCTCAAAGCACACTATCTTCCCTATGTAGTGCACTTCGTGGATCATGAAATAGCAAATCCTTCACCCAAAGAGTGCAAGAAACGTTCGACTAAGTCATCTATAATCAACATTAACAACAGGTTACAAATTCCCTATTTACAACTCAGCTGCTTGTTAATGATGATCGTGTTTGTTTGAACAGTAGCGCACTATGTAGGGGACACTGAGTGATTTGAGACGGTGTTATTCTCCTCTCAGAAAGTAAACACTGCAAGCGAGACGAGAAAGCAGAGCTGTGCAGATAGAACTTTTGCAGCGTCTCGTTCCAGAGCTCATTTTGGAGACTCTGCTCCACAAAAATATTTGGTAAAAGCTTTAGTTTCGATTCACAGTTGATTCACCGATTGTTTTCTTTTTTTTGACGCTAAAAGCTTCATTTTATATTATTATCGAACCATAAGCACAAGTTAAACCACACAGACCAGGACATTTCTTCTATTTCGAAGTCCACAGACTTCTCCGTTAAAGTTAACCTTGCATTCTTGCAAGTAGCGGGTGGTGGTCACGAAGGTGACTCGTAAGGTTTGATGTGTTGCCCCCTTTCACCGCTGTTTTCTTTAGGCCTGTTCTGCAGACAGGGTGGTCATCTGCAGACAGGGTGGTCATCTGCAGACAGGGTGGTCATCTTCAATTAACTATCCTTCTGCATCCTTATAAAACCCAAAACATGACCAAACGTCAGACTTGGTCTTCTTAGAAGGCTGAAATTTCTCTGAATCTCCGAGATTTTCACACCGCGGTAATCGACCGCGGTTTTAACGATACTTTAAAGTTCAAATGGTACTACTAACCGTCATTAATTTTACCGCGATTTACCGTGAAACCAGTAACCGTTTCATCTCTAGTCAGCGGCAGTTCGAAAAGGTGCGGTGGAGCTTCACAGGACTCAGAGGAAGCCTGTGCTGCATTCACCCTCCTAGCGTTGGTAGTATCGTGTGATTGGGGGAGTCCTAATTGGAATTGGAGACGACTAAATTGGGGAAAAACCAAAAAAAAAAAAATAATGTCTTGACGCGTTCCATAATGCAACGCAAGTGCATTACAGCAGGGGGCGCTATAACGACGACATGACCAGGTGGATACATTATCGCATTTCCATTTCAAGAGAAGAGGTAAAGCGGCTCACTCTCCTCTACTGTCCATGTTTATCTGTTGTGGCTGCTGGAATAACGGTAGATCCCTCTCTAATTTGCCCACTATCGCCCCCTACAGCAACGTAATAACGCACAGTGAGTTTGTACAGGAGGACTGAGAGTTTACAGTGTGTTGAACGAGCTCCGTCATTTGCGTTCGCGTCCTTGCGTGAAGTATGTTTTGGGCCTAACCGTCCCCTCTCTCTCTCTCGGTGGGTAGGATGATCCTCCCTCTCCACCCGTCAGCGCGATGCCAGCCACAGTGGTTGTCCAAAATTAGCTGATGTAACAGAATTGGCAGTTAGGGTTCTCCTCCAAGCGTGTTGAGCTCCAGTGATGTGCTGTTAGTGGCCGTTTGTAAAGATGTGGCGGGGCTTCTCATGTTTCAGAGGAAGCTCACATAAGACTATGCCATCCAAGTTTGGTGGCATCGTGTGCTGGGAGACTTGTCTACTGCACAGTCCCCGTCTGTAATTCTTCATCTTTTTCACATTTAGACCTGCCCAGGATATTCGACCTGTGTCATCAGGCCCTGCAGATGATCGCCAGATACGTCCCATCGTAAGTCACAGTTTGAAACGCTGTGTTTTTTTATGTAGGTTGTCGTTATTTGATCCGTAACGAAGTAAAGCTGTTTTTTCTCCTTCTGTTTACAGTACCAGTCGGTTCCTGATGCCAATCCTCAACGATAACTTTCCTTTTGTGCAGAAATCATCCCGAACATTGGTGAGCTCAGCTTCCTTTCTCAGCACATTCATGTTTTTTAAAGTAAAGGTTCAGACAGTTCAGATTTTCATACACAACCACCCCCCAAACCGCCTTACCTCAAATGTAGTCGATTAAAATGTGTTCCGGGGTCCAAATTTTTTGGCTTCTTTAGTTTTAGAGCTGGAGCTATGAGACTAACGTTGCTAACAAACACAGTCAATAGTCACCCAAATCTAATCTGTGAATACACTCTTTAAATGTGTACAGTTTTAATGGATTTATATTTTATGAATTTTGTTTACAATTGTCATTTCTTGTTTCAGTGCAACAGGAAAGTAATGCAGCGTTTGTAGTTTTTAAAAACCTGCAATGATGCTGAATAATAAATAAATAAATAAATAAATAAATAAATGCGTAAATAATTTCTCTGAACTCGCTCAAACCCCATCCAGGCCTTCATAAAGGTGACTGCAGACTTGTAGATGTGGTTTAGGACACAGTATGACTCACTGTGAGCTATATGTGAGCTGATATTTACAAAGCAGGACTGATCTCGGATCAGATTCTCTGGCATTTATGACGGTCATTGTTACAAATAGTGGTTGTAGATCAGCTTCGACTACTGAGGTGGTCTGTAAATACATACCCTGCTGTCTAAGTCTTCAGTGTGTGAGATGTAAACAGAGAGATTCAGAGTGGTTTGGTGTGAAATGGTTCAGATGTCTTTACAGTGGTGGTGATAGGAACCAGGGGTCGCCATGACTACAACACAGATATAGAGATTTTATTTACTATCCAGAACCACCAGTGAACCTACACGAGTCTTCTGAGTTTATATGGAATGTTGATGATGGAAAATAGTGGAAAATCTGAAATAATAAGTTTTCTTTGGGGACTATTTTGCCTCACAACACCCTGCATGTTATGTATCCCTCCACCATGAATGGAGTTTAAGTTCTCCAAACTATCATAAATCAGTGTCTCAGTCATCAGGCAGTGAATTCATAACCATTTCATGTAGGAACTTTCTTTGAGGGAGCTTATAGAGGTGGACGTCTGGTTCCTATCACCACCACTGTGAACAGTTCTGAGTTTCTCTAGAACGGAGCGTTTCACACCAAACCACTCTGAACGTTTGAAAATTGGTGGAATTCCCCTTTAAGTAATCTAATAGAGTTGCTTAAGTGGATTCTGATACTGTACATTCAACCTTCAAGAAGGTTTCTACTGTTTGCACTTCAGTCCATGTTTATAGATAAGAGTTTCAGAAACACACAGTCTTTTAGAGTAATGATTTAGACGTGCAGTCAGCGCCATGCTGGTTCACTTTTTAGCTTAGTGAGGTTTGTTCATGTGTGTGTGTGTGCAGGAATGTTATGTCCATAACCTGCTGAGGATCGCGGTGTATATCCCCACTCTGAGGAGAGACGTGCTGGAGCTCATCGTCAGCAAAATGCTCACGCTGGACGTAGGACACTTCTTTATTCCACTTCCTCTTCTTTCTGTGTTTAATTCATATTGTACGCTTTTTTTTGTATCAAGCTCAAGTTTTACAAGAAATTGAAAAAGTCCTATAAGGTCTTAAAACAGGTATAGAAAATGTAACTCATCACCTAAAGCACACGTTTTTGTGTGTGTATGGCTGCTAAAGCATTAGCAAGTCATTCTCCCATAGGTGGTGCTGATAGAATCAGATAAATCAGAACTAAGAACAGCTTCATGATAACTAAGCCTGGGCGTCACTACACCACTTTTAAAATCTTATCGGTTGTCTGAAAACGGAGCTCATCACAAACTGAACACCAGTTTGTCACAGAATGTCTTGTCTGTTTCGTGGTGAGGCGCTCAGACTAGACGACAGGGCTAAGAGAGAGAATAACACACAGAACAGGTTTGGGCTACGAATAAGAACTCAAACTCCCAGAACTCCTCAGATCACGTGACCCAAACAGTGCTGAACTCACTGGACCTGTTTGTGCTTTTATGCTCAGTGAAAGGCGTAAACTGGGGATTAATATGAGGTGAGAGACGCTGATATTACAGTGAGAGCTGGAGGAATGTTTTCACTACAGACCGGCAGCTGAGCTGAAACCGTAAAGGGAGTGTTTTGACGTCTGGATCCAACATGATAAACATGATATTGACTCTTATCTGCCTGTTTCTCTGCTCTTCCAGCTCTCTGATTGGCTGTTTGAATCACTGGTTGAGTAAATCTCTGACCGTCTCTCACTGCAGGACTCAGGACCGTTTCGAGTCGTAAATGTCAAACATGTTTGACAATAATATCGGAGGGTCTCTGATCACTTGAGTTTGATCGGAGGACTAAAGATTCACTCGTTTCTCCTCTCACGCTACAGATCATCCACGTTGTCAGTCGCTTCTGATCGAGCTCCCGACCTGGAAAATCGCTTCAGATTGTGAAAATTCGTTGCAAATGGGGCAAATCAGGGTTAAAATCTGGCAAAAAATGCATAAGCACGATAGCGAGCTACACCATAGACGTTATGAAGGAGGAGAACTGTCACTGGGAAAGCTCGTAATGCTTAGCATGGCGTCTGTTTGTGGGAAAAGTCCCGCCCTTCAGGAAACAGATCCAGGCGGCTTACTCGTTAAGCCACAAGCTGGAAAAGCCCCCCTCAGTTGTGGAGATCTGCACAAGCACCGTAGCCAGAACAACCGAAAACATGTTTTTTGTGCTTATTTGAGCCAAACACTACAAATTATTTATGATATTTGTGTTCGATTTCGTCAGTGATTTTAAACGTGTGGTCAAACTCGGATTCTGGTCTTGTATGGCTGGAAATAACTGCCCTGCGATGTCGCAAAGATGAGTGCAGAGTGAACAGACTTTCCTTTAAGGACGTTGGCTCTGTTCACCACAGAACAAGCCTAGTTCAGCTTTTATTCCAACACCAGTCACTGAAAATAACCCTCCGAGGTCTGAGGGTGTTTTCTTGATTATTGCATATATGTTTTGCGTACATGATACCCGCATGATATGTTTTATATTTATATATATATATATATATATGTATATATATTATATATATTGTGTGTGTGTATGTATGTATGTTTAGAACAATCTCATCTCTCTTTTTACTAAGCCTGGACACTTCTTATTTCTCTCGTTATATCAAAAACAAGACTGTACAGTGAACGGTATATGTAGTTGCTTTATATGTTGGATGTGTGTTACATGGAACATAGAGGTACCTGAAGACCTACTGAAATGGGTGCATTGTTATTCATAGGTGAGCGCCCCCCGTGGCGAGATTGAGGAAGTGGAGAGTTCAGGCCAACAGAACCAGAGCGCGGAGTCTCAGGAGGATTTCTTATTCGACATGGTGAGCTGCAGGAGAACTTACAACAGTACCTGTAACAATGAATCTATTGACAGTTATTCTATTAATCGATTAACTTAGCTGAATCGTTTATGGTGCATTAAAACAGCAGGTGCCACACTTCCTGTAGTGAGTGACCGTGTGGATCATATGAACTTTATAGAGGCTTTTTAAATGAAACATTAGAAGCCATATCGCCCCCTACACTTCGTGTAGTGTATTACAGTCTGTCAGAGTGACTGTGTGGATCATATGAACAGTATAGAGCTTTTTAAATGAAACAGTAGAAGCCATATCGCCCCCTACACTTCCTGTAGTGTATTACAGTCTACAGAGTGACTGTGTGGATCATATGAACATTATAGAGCTTTTTAAATGGAACAGTAGAAGCCATATCGCCCCCTACACTTCCTGTAGTGTATTACAGTCTGTCAGAATGACTGTGTGGATCATATGAACATTATAGAGGCTTTGTTTTTAAATAATGAAGCGTCAGTAATCATTAACAGATGTCTCTCTTTTGTGCTTTAAGGATGATGATGATGATGACGGCGACGACTCTCCTTTGAAGACCTCGCAGTCTGTGGATGGGGCGCTGATGCTTCATCCCGTAGCTGAAAGACTGGACACGTTAATGGGCATCCTGCTGGCCTTCATTAAAGACATGTGCCATGTTAATGGTATGCAGTTATCATGGACAGTTTTTGAGCCCTTTATTCAGAAATTCAAACTGTCATAGATTCGATAACTGGTCCGGTGTGTCCCAACGATACTTCATGCAAAGTGAACTGCTGAAAGTGTGTGGTGTGCTTTAACTCTCGAACCCATGTTTGCATGGCTGTTTTTGATTGTTTCTGCTGTGATTCCTGTAGTCTGTTTATTCTCTGAGAGAGTAAGGGGGGGGTTAAGTAACGTAATAACGTAATAATGATTTTTATTTATAAGGCACTTTTCATGCCGTTGGCAGCTCAAAGTGCTTTACAGACAGGAGATAAAGCTTAACGGTAATACAAGAAATTATAAGTATTAATTAAGCAACATATAAGAAAATGAAACAGATCATATTAAAAGATAAACACCACAAAACGTAGTTTTACTGAAGCGCTGAGTTAAAGAGCTGCATTTTCAGATGTTTATTAAAAGTGAGCTCTGAGCTCGACTGTCTAATAAAAGCTGAGCTGAGCTCCACAGTTTAGAAGCAGTATAACTGAAAGAGTCTCTCCACGTTTTCTGTGTTTTACTGAAGGTGTTTGTAGAAGGTCAGAATCTGCAGATCTAAGATCATAAACAGACACACATTCAGGAGCTTTAAGGTCATTTAGAGCCTTAAAAACCAGTAGCAGAGCTTTAAAATCTGTCCTGAGTGATACAGACAGTGCAGCTCTTATAAAGCGGGACTGATCTGATCTCTCTGTGTTGTTTTTGTTAGGATACTGATTCATTTTGTACGAGTTGTAAAGGATGTATTGTTTTCTTAGGAAGTTCAGTAAGAAGATCATTACAGTGATCAACTCTGCTGTAACAAATGCATGAACAAGTTCCTCTGCGTTGCTCTGAGAGAGAGAAGAGGGCTGTGTTCCAATAAGCAAGAATTGGTCCGTTCCGATTCAAATTCTTCAAGGCAAAGTGAGAGTGATTAGGAACTAATGATTATTTAAGCTCACAAATAAGAAATAAACTAATAATATTAATATATTATAAATAATATTCAATAGTTATAGTAATAAGTCTGTAATAGTAGTAATAGTAATAATAATTATAATAATAATAGTTTTTTCAAGTAATTTCCATTCATTTCAAGTAAAAACAGCTAAAAGTAAGCATCAGATCTAAAATTAAAAGTCATTTCGGAGGTTCTTATCTTGGCTCTGAGGAAAAATTCTAAGGCCTGTCTCGCTGGCCGTCAGAGTTTAAGCACTCAGCACGGACCCAAGAGGAAAGAAAAAAACATGGCCGCTTTATGCCTTATTATTTATTTTCACTCAATATTTAGCAATAGAATAAACCACCATCAAAATCCTTGGATGTTCAGGTGACAGACACTCTAGTCTAACAATTCCTGAAAAGATATCTGAGCTGACAGTTACTTTTGAAGTTTGTATAAGCAAATATTTACAAAATTTAGGAGTCAGCAAGTAAATTTTTAAACAGAAACAATGCCCAAATCAATAAAGATAACAGTATATAACAGTGGCATATCTGAGTAGCCCATATAGTAGAGTGTATGGCATGTGTGACTGTCTCATGTAAATGCTTGTAATGTGATCATAACTGACCAAAAGAGCAAAACATTTACACTGTACTATCTTTTCCAGGTGTTCTGGACGTGGAGAGGGCTAAAGGTGTGTACAGAGACCTGGTGGGTGTGTTTGATAAGCTGGTGCTGCCCACACACGCGTCCTGCCACGTTCAGTACTGCATGTTCTACCTGTGCAGCTTCCGCCTGGTGAGTAACAACACTGTAAACAAACAAACAAACAGATACATTTATTTACACAACGGTTACTTCCGGCCACGCAAGCTGATTGGTTGAGAAGCGTTCTAACTGTGCTGTTACGTTTTCACAAACACTGTATCACTCCACTGAAATGCCGTTGCTAAGCAACGACTTTGACAGCTGTATTAGACGCTCAAGACATTTGAACGTTTTGACTTCTTACTTTGCCACAAACAGAAAATGGACACTTTCAAGAACACATTTGACCGACAGCCGATTTGGTCAGACTCTGAAGATGAGACGACACTAAATTCCCAAACTGTCATCACCACTGAGCAGCTTTTCAGTCGGCAGCCGAGACAGAAGAACAGCTGAACAACCTGGAATCAGCCAGAAATGAACCCAACACCATTCGCCAAACTAAATGGGCTGTAAGATGTTTTACAGACTGGCTGGAACAAAACAACATTAATACTGCTCTGGCTAAAAACTGACAAAACTGAGCTAAACCTGATATTGCGGCAGTTTTATGGCTCAGTCTGATTTGGTCAGACTCTGCAGATCAGACTACACGTTTGGCGAATGGTGTTGGGTTCATTTCTGGCTGATTCCAGGTTGTTCAGCTGTTCTTCTGTCTCAGCTGCCGACTGAAAAGCTGCTCAGTGGTGATGACAGTTTGGGAATTTAGTGTTAGGAGCTGGAGAACGAACTGCTGGCTGTGCAGCGAGTGGGCGGAGCTCGTTACTCTGACGTAGCAACAAGCTGCTCGTTAAGGAACTATAATTTGGTGAAGGAACTGCGAACATTAAAACATATTAAACGCCGCGTTCACGGCCCAGTTTATTAATTTATTACTTTATTCATTTAACTGTTGTATTAAAGCAGTAGAACACTCGAGGAGTGTGTTATCGCCAATAACATCACGGCTGTGATGATCTACGGCGACCAAATCACAGCCGTGATGTCACGATAACACACTCCCTCTCGGGTTCTACTGCTTAAATAATGAACGGCTTCAGGATTAACACTTTAAAAGAAACAAGTTGTTTAGTTTTTTGCAAATCGCCTGCGCCGCTCTTAACTGTCAATAGTAGATCAGTAGATTCTGCAGCATTCCTGTGCTACTTCCTATCCTAATTAATGCTTTGTCAGTCGGGAGAAGTCAATTGCTGAATAAAATGAAGATTATCTTTTAGGGCTGAACTCAAATTAATGGTGCACTCCTAGAATCGCCCCTAATGTAGGAGATAATAGCACCCAACAGATTTAAAGGTTTGGTTATGTTCACTTAGTGTGCTGGTATCCTTCTACAGTTTGGATGAAATAAATACAACCCCAATTCCAGAAAAGTTGGGACGCTGTGTAAAATGTAAATAATTGTAAATAAAAGCAGAATGTAATGATTTGCAAATCTCAGACCCATATTTTATTCACAATAGAACATAGAACACATATCAGATTCAGAGCAGTTGAAAGTGAGACATTTTACCATTTCATGGAAAACTTCAACTCTCTTAGAACTTGATGGCAGTTCTTTATTTACATTTCACACGGCATCCCAACTTTTCTGCAATTGGGGTTGTAAATAAATAAATGATGTTTTGAAACTGTAAAAATGAAATATATAACATTAAGCATGTTATATTAAAATCACTCCACAATTCCATAATTATTATGTTTCATAAAAACTGAATACAAGGCAGATTCATACTGGATTAAAATCACTCTACAATTATCCAGGTAAACAGGACTAATTATCCCCTCTCTCTGATTTAGTTCAGTGTTCAGTACTGACCATATATTTACCTACAGATCTGATTCTGCTGTGGAGCCGCAACAGAGCAGTGAAAGAGCCGCATGCTGCGACCCCTGAACTGGTTTATTCTGTCTGTTCCGGTTGTAGCTGGAAGTGTGAGTGTTTCTGCTGTTGTTTAGGGTTTGGCGGAGGCGTTTTTGGATCACCTGTGGAAGCTGCTGCAGAGCCCCTCCCAGCCCTGCAGTGATAAGGCAGGCCGCCGCCGCATACATGGGCAGTTTTCTGGCCAGAGCAAAGTTCCTGCCCATTGCGTACGTCCCTCATTTCTTATTGCTACTCATGATGAGCAAAAGCTGGAGCGCTGCACACACTGCAGATTCATACTGGATTAAAATCACTCCACAATTATTACTGTCAGACTGTAAAACTACACACACTGCAGATTCATACTGGATTAAAATCACTCCACAATTATTACCGTCAGACTGTAAAACTACACACACTGCAGATTCATACTGGATTAAAATCACTCCACAATTATTACAGTCAGACTGTAAAACTACACACACTGCAGATTCATACTGGATTAAAATCACTCACAATTATTACTGTCAGACTGTAAAACTACACACACTGCAGATTCATACTGGATTAAAATCACTCCACAATTATTACTGTCAGACTGTAAAACTACACACTGCAGATTCATACTGGATTAAAATCACTCCACAATTATTACTGTCAGACTGTAAAACTACACACTGCAGATTCATACTGGATTAAAATCACTCCACAATTATTACTGTCAGACTGTAAAACTACACACACTGCAGATTCATACTGGATTAAAATCACTCCACAATTATTACAGTCAGACTGTAAAACTACACACACTGCAGATTCATACTGGATTAAAATCACTCCACAATTATTACTGTCAGACTGTAAAACTACACACTGCAGATTCACACTGGATTAAAATCACTCCACAATTATTACAGTCAGACTGTAAAACTACACACACTGCAGATTCACACTGGATTAAAATCACTCCACAATTATTACAGTCAGACTGTAAAACTACACACACTGCAGATTCACACTGGATTAAAATCACTCCACAGTCATTACACTGCAGATCTCGGGGACTAAGTTAGTGTGTTTGTGTGCTTCTCTAGAACGGTGCGCGTGTGTCTGGACCTGCTGGTTCCGTGGCTCCATCTGTACATAGAGAATCAGGACTCGGGTTCTAAAGCGTTTTGTGACGTTTCTCTGCACGGCCCGTTCTACGCCGCCTGCCAGGCCGTCTTCTACACGCTGATCTTCAGACATAAAGCCATCCTGGAGGGAAACATGAAGAAAGGTGTGTCCTCACTTCTGAACACGTTGATGAGAATTCGCCTTTAGCCATGATTAGTAGGTTTTAATTAGTCACTACAAGTAATTATATTTGTAAAGCACCGTGTTGTGTAGTTGTAGTTATAGTTGTGTAGTGTTGTGTTGGGCTGTTGTTTTATTCGTGTAAGGTTGTGTTGTCGTTGTAGTTATATTTAAATAACTGGTGTAGTTGTAATTATTTTTGTATAGCTGAGTTTTGTAACTATAGATGTATTTGTTGTTGTGTTGTGTAGTTGTAGGTGAATTTGTGTAGCAATGTTGTGTAGTTGTTATGTGTGTAGTGTTGTAGTTATATTTGTGTAATTGTGTTACACATAGTGTTGTGTAATTGTCGTTATATTCGTGTAGTGTTGTGTTGTGTAGTTGTTGTATAGTTGTAGTTATATTTGTGTAAATGTGTTGTGGAGTTGTAGTTACAGTATATTCGTGTAAGGCTGTGTTGTGATGTGTATATTTGTGTAACGTTGTAGTGTAATAGTTATGTTCGTGCGACGCTGTGTTATGTTTGTGTAGGTCTGGCGTATCTGCAGAGTCTGAATCTGGAGCGGATCGTGATGAGTCAGTTAAACCCTCTGAAAGTCTGTCTGCCCGCCGTCACCAACCTGTTCGCCGCCATCACCAGGTACAACGCTGACCGCTCAGACGCCCACAGCCTGCAAATACTTTATTCCCCTGTTCTTCAGTGGTCAGGACCCCCATGGACCCTCACAGAGCAGGTACTATTTGGGTGGTGGGTCATTCTCAGCACTGCAGTAACACTGACGTGGTGTGTTGGTGTGTGTTGTGCTGGTCTGAGTGGATCAGACACAGCAGTGCTGCTGGAGTTTTTAAACACCTCAGTGTCGCTGCTGGACTGAGAATAGTCCACCAACCAAAAATATCCAGCCATCAGCGTCCTGTGGGCAGCGTCCTGTGACCACTGATGAAGGACTAGAGGACGACCAACACAAACTGTGCAGCAGCAGATGAGCTATCGTCTCTGACTTTACATCTACAAGGTGGAACGACAAGGTAGGAGTGTCTGATAGAGTGGACAGTGAGTGGACACAGTGTTTAAAAACTCCAGCAGCACTGCTGTGTCTGATCCACTCGTACCAGCACAACACACACTAACACACCACCACCACGTCAGTGTTACTGCAGTGCTGAGAATGATCCACCACCCCAATAGTACCTGCTCTGTGAGGGTCCATGGGGGTCCTGACCACTGAAGAACAGGGTAAAAGGGGGCTAACAAAGTATCAGAGAAACAGATGGACTACAGTCTGTAACTGTAGAACTACAAAGTGCTCCTGTATGGTCAGTGGAGCTGATAGAGTGGACAGTGACTCTGAAGGTAGTTTTAATGAATACAGAATTTCATTGTGTAACTGACTGTATGTGCATTTGACAAACTCTTGAATCTGTTCTTAGGAAGTATCAGCTGGTCTTCTGCTACACCATCATCGAGAGGAATAATCGTCAGATGTTGCCGGTCATCAGGAGCTCAGTGGGCGGAGACTCGTTATCCACCAATACGAATCCACTGGACACGTTTTTCCCCTTTGACCCCTACCTACTGAAGAGGTCAGAGCAAAGCCGACATTCATGACTGAGCAGGAACTGTTATTGAACTCCAACTTCAGTTTCTGCAATTCTCATGTCCTTTAGCGTTTTAATATAAGCAAGAAATGATGGTGTGTCTTAAAGGGAAACTACACAGAATTTTCAAAATTTCTGCATATTTCAGTGTTTGAAATGGTTCCGATTTCTTTACAGTGGTGGTGATAGGAACCGTAGGTGGACGTCTGGTTCCTATCACCACCACTGTGAACAATTCTGACTTGGTCAGTTTCTCTAGAACTGAGCGTTTCACACCAAACCACTCTGAATGACCCTGTTTACATCTTAACCATTTAATTATGCAGTTTTGGTGGCAGTTATTGGTGAGAGTCCCCCTTAACTACTATTAAGTAGACGCATGGGCTTCTGTTTGAGTGATATGCTTTGAAACTGTTTTGTGCACCATTTCAAGTAGCTGTAAATACAGATGTCTGATTTCATGCTGTCGGTGCACTTTTTGAAAAATAAAAAGTGGACGGTGTAAAAACTGAGTTTTTTTATATTCACACAGAAGCCAAACAAGCCCTAGCTTACTCTGAGCGTGCTAAATGTTGAGGTTAAGTAAATTAATAGCAGTAGTACAAGTTTTCTACTGTGTTGATCGAAGTGGCTTATTTTTATGTGTTTTGTTGTTTTATTGTTTCGTTATCAGGTCTGGAAAGCTCATTGAACCGATCTATCAAGTGTGGGAGGAGCCATCGGACTGTATGGTGGACGCTCCAAAGAAAGATATTAGAAAGGTAAAACGTTTTTATTGCAGGTGAAGGAAGAATTTGTCAAAAAGATTCAGCTTGAACAGTTTCACCTGTACTCCACATGCAGCTGATCATCCAAGACATGTTTGGTGTCTGAAGTTTGCTTTTACAAGGCTAATGTAACTAACATGTAATGGGTAGCTTTACTCCGCTGATGGGCCCCACCAATCTTAAAAAAAGATTTGATTATCTGGGCGGTCAAACAATTAAAATAATCATTACATTGATTTGTATAGTTCACTAGGGGTGCGGGAGGCTGAAGTCGCTTCTCATTCGCCAGTTTCTCGTTCTAATTTTCCTGTTCCACCTTAAATTCTGCCTTAGGCGCCGAATGTAACTGCTGCACCATTTAAGGTGGAACGGGAAAATTCGAAAGAGAAGCCAGTTCATTTTCGCAACTTTTTTTTAACTCTCGTTGCAGATTTAACCAACTGCGCTGCTTATAAATGCGAATAAGTCCTCCAAATGTTCGACTTAATCTGTGTTTTCGTTCGCTACTGGCGAGGCCAGACCTCGGTGCTGTGTGACCTGCTGTCTGCTGTCTGTTCTCGGTCGTTGAGAACCAGGGCTTTCGCGCTATGCTGCACACTTTGGAGCCGAGATCCCCCCCCCCCAATCATATTTCGGCAGCAGCGTCTCTGAATGAGAGCCTTCTAGTTCACTTGCCACATCACTTCCATTTGATTTATTAATAAAAGATATTTTAGATATTTAAAGCAAAGTATTTGTATTAATCCGTAATGCATTTACATTATGGATCATTACAAATACTTTGCTTTAAAACTACCAAGTTTTTAGACAGTAGGAAGATAGAAATCCTGTATAGAGAAAAAAGATGCATCAAGATGCATCGATAATTGTTTTATAATCGCATCGCAGCCTCTGAATCATAATCGAATCGAATCGTGAGGTGCCTAAAGATTCCCACCCCTAATAATCACACATTCCACACATCGAACGAGACATTCACTGCACTGTACCACCTTTTCTCAATCTATGAATCCCGTGACACACCCTGCATCATCCCCGTGCAGCGCCGTCTGCAGGAACCTGAAGGTACTACCACCGAAAACATGCAAGGTGACTAATTTTTTGTTTGGAGAGATTAGTATGTTATACGGAGTCAGAAACCAAACAAGCAAGTCTGTTGTTGTTGATGCAAATTGGTGGGGTATAAGCTTCCATTTCTTCTTGGCTACATTAGCCTCGTAGCTCCAGTGCTAAAACTGAAAAACTTCAAGCATCAAACATGTTTTGGTCGGATACGTTTGTGTGGTATGAAGGCAAACCATGTACGTTTCATTTCCCATTAAACTGTCCTTTAAGTATCACTTTCGTTAGTGATCCTGGGTAACTACTTATGTTCTAACCGTGTTCTCTTTCTGTCTCAGGGTTCTGCGGAGGATGAGGACGATTTCCTGCAGGGCGAAACCCCTCAGGGTGACGTGATGATGGGCGTAACTCCCGGCTCGTTTGACTCTCACCTGCGGAGCCCCAGCAGTGTGGGGTCACCACCGATAGCCTTCCTGCAGCGGCCGTTCTGACACACATACTCACATTTACAGACATGCAGTTTGCACAGTGCTGATTGGTGGGGAATAAACTCCATTAATTCTTGGCCACATGCGCCTCCGTTAGCTCCAGCGCTGGAACTGAAGGCAGAACAGCTCGTCGCTGTCTTAAGAGAACCTCTAGGAAATGTTAGGTTTATAGAAGAGGGGAAAAAATCCATACAGTCATATGCAAATGTTTCTACATCTCTGGTCAAAAATGCTTTGTAGATTTTCAGATTTTTAAATTTTTAGTGCACAATTTAAGTCTTAATTTATTTGCTGAGTTTAACATATTGGGGGGGAAAAAACCATAAAAGATATAAAAAATATAAAATATGCTGTAACTTTTTCACAATCCACATTTTGTTTTATTTTTCTCCCGATATGTTACATTCAGCAACTAAAGGATAATTGTGTATTAAAATGTACAGAAGTGTGTCTCTGTAGGGGATGTTACTTATTAACTTATTTACGCTCAGAAAATCACTTAAAAATCACTTTTTTTTTTTTTTTCATAATCAGAAAATCAATAAGTTGACCAGGGGTGCACAAAGTTCTGCATACAACTGTAACTTTGTAACTGTGACTTCAATGTACATCAATGTAAAGTTTATTCATTTCAAGTATTTTTTTTTTCAATAATTGTTCATCTGAAAGGTTCCCATAATGGAAAGTACAGTCATTTTTAAATAGATGAGATAAAAAAATAACACGCAACACCTTCTTTTAGGTTCTAGGTAGTTAACAGAGCAAGTCTGAGGTGCAAACTCCAGAGTACTAGAAAACTATTTTAGAATGATAGTACATTCTGAGACAGCTTAACTAAACTGCACTGAAATCCCCAGCAGGTTCTAGATATTACTCGAATAAGTGTAAAGTACAAATTCCAAAGTGCTGTGTAATAATGGTGCATAACAACTAATTAAATTATACTAAAATGACTAGCAGGTTCTAGATATTAAGGTACTAATACTGATAAAGGAAAACCAACTCAATTATTTGAAGTAATAAGGTGGTAAATAGAATCAGACACTGAATTTCAGTCTAATCACGTTGAGTTGATTCTCTAAATGAAAATAAGTGAACACATCATCTACAGAGAACACAGTAAAATATGATGCACACAGTTTGAACATACTGGAAAAATACATCAAATTAAAATGTGACAAGTTTTGCCCAGGCCACATTTTATGTTTGAGGTTAAGATTATTTTATTCCAAACGTATTAAATTCAGCAAATAGACAGTAATCGTGCATTAAAATATACAGTAGTGTGTCTCTGTAGAGGATGTGTTCAACATGGAAAATGAGCAGGGGTGCCTAAACTTTTGCATATGACTGTATGTGGCGTAGAATAGCAGAATAAAGTGCAACGACAGTCTTTGAAGTAGCAGCACAGCGATAATCACTGCTTTTGTCTTTCCAGCCCACATTCAGACTGAGTTTAGTTTACAGGTGATGAATAGGTGCAGATGGTATAAAACCCTTTTTATTAACGTCATATAAATATAAAATTATACACAAACTAATTACATTGCTGTGGAGTTCACACCACATACTCACCCGGTTAATATCTAGAACTGAAAGGACTGTAAAAGAAAGTGTTAACCTAATAATGTTATAAATGCAAACTGCACCTTCCAGCAGGAGACCGCAAGGGGGCGCTGATGACACACCTGACTGTGTGTGAGCACAGAACTGAGCAGATTTGCTTTCTTTTACCCTTAAATGCTCTGTTCAGTGCTGAAATCTCTCTGTTTGTACTCAGTAGCATCTTTCAGGAGGACTGAGGGTGAAAATCACTCTGTACAGGTTTTATTGACGGAGAAAAAGCATAAAAACCTCATCAACGAGCAGCTCAGCGGCTCAGCGGCTCAGCGGCGTCACTCCTGAACCTGCAGTACAGAGAAATACAGACCACATTCTGCTCACTCAGCTGAGCAGATCTGATCATATTTGTACTATATTTTCCTATTTATTACATGTGGGGAATATTTTGATCCTGAAAACTGCCTAAGTGATCATAAAGGTGTTTCCTGGATGATTGATACTCGTATATTAGTGATTATAACAGCATTATTCAGAGGGGACGTCTGGGTCTGGGTAATGAAACCTCTTTTATTTGGTTTACTGCAAATTTGTTGTTCCTGTTTTTTGAAAACCTGCACAGTAACATTGAGACTAAACTCGAAGGTAAAACCAGTTCAAATCTTTGTAAATTGTTATATATGTGGCTTTTTTGTGTATAATCGTTTTATGATAATGTCAGACAGGACAGTTATGTAAAGCAGTGATTATTAACCCTTTAAACTCTTAAAGGGCCTGTATGTTCTTCAGTTCCTCACTCTAATAACTCCACTCTTAACAAATTAGGGTTCTAAAAAAGCGCCGTCATAGAAGAACCATTTTAGGTTCCCTCTCATTTGTTTCAGTTGGGTTTCAGATGTGGTTCTTCATGGCAGCCGTCATTTTGTACCGTTATTTAAAGGGCCTGTATGCTACGTTTTTCTTGCATTTGTTTTTTTTCCCGCTTTGAGATCCACTGTGTGCACCAAAAACAGCTGTAGTTCACTGTTAGACGACTCTCTTTATCTTTTAGAATTAATCAGGCTGTTAATGTTACTGTGCCTTTAAGACTGAGATATGTAAATCAGCTCTGTTCTTATTGGCTGCCCTCTATTATACGTCATTCAAAAGCATTCAGAGATGAAACACTTCTTATAACTTCAGCGTGAGCGGGCAGTGCTAAACTGGTGTAGGCTGATTAGGTGGAATAATGTAAATATGTGTTTGTGACATCACAACAAGTGAAAATGGCCTAATTCTACAGTTTATGGACTGTATGGGCTGCACAGTATCAATTTAACCAAAAAATGACTTTGTGGTAACAAGTAATTGAACGAGTTTTATTCAACTCAAAAAATTACTTTGATCTAAAAAAAAATGTATTCAGATTGAATAAAAATAATTCAGTCACCACATGAAGTATTTTAGGTTGCACTGAGACCATTTTTACAGTGTGGGGAGTCAAATAATGTTTTGAAAGTGTTTATATACGTTTTTTTAAAGTGAGCAGTTGAATTTTCTGTAATATGGGCCTTTAATAAATGGTACATTTTTAAAAGTGTATAACTTCCTTATTAGTATAGAATAATAAGGCAGAGTGGATGGGTGGGTGAGTGAGTGAGTGGGTGAGGGAGTGAATGGGTGAGTGAGTGGGTGAGTGAGTGGGTGGGTGAGTGATGGAGTGAGTGATTGAGTGGGTGGGTGATTGGGTGAGGGAGTGAGTGGGTGGGTGAGTGATGGAGTGAGTGATTGGGTGAGTGATTGAGTGAGTGGGTGAGTGATTGAGTGGGAGGGTGATTGGGTGGGTGATTGAGTGATGGAGTGAGTGATTGGGTGGGTGAGTGATTGAGTGATTGAGTGGGAGGGTGATTGGGTGGGTGATTGAGTGGGTGGGTGAGTGATTGAGTGGGAGGGTGATTGGGTGGGTGATTGAGTGAGTGATGGAGTGAGTGGGTGATTGAGTGATTGAGTGGGAGGGTGACTGGGTGAGTGATTGAGTGGGTGAGTGAGTGAGTGGGTGGGTGAGCGAGCGAGCAAGTGAGTGAGCGATTGAGTGGGTGGGTGGGCGATTGAGTGGGTGGGTGAGCGATTGAGTGGGTGGGTGGGTGATTGAGTGGGTGGGTGAGTGAGTGACTGGGTGAGTGAGTGGGTGGGTGATTGAGTGGTGGGTGAGTGAGTGAGTGGGTGATTGAGTGGGTGAGTGATTGAGTGAGTGGGTGGGTGAGTGATTGAGTGGGTGAGTGATTGAGTGAGTGGGTGAGTGATTGAGTGAGTGGGTCGGTGAGTGAGTGGTTGGGTGATTGGGTGTTTAATCAGGAGAGCCTGTACAGTAAGTTGTATGAAGATTAGACTGTAGTTATGACCTGGTATTTAACTCGCTGTGCTGCCTGGCTGTTTTCTTCTGTGTCGAGTGTTTTGACAGTGTCCACTAAAGTTTTATATTCCTGGACTGCATTTCAGTGAGGAAACAAAATATCACCCACAAGTTCCGATTGGTCAGTTTCACATCCTCAATAATAAACAGTTTTGAATGGTTCATTTTTGTTTCTATGGTTACCAGTCAGTCACCCTAACCTTAGATATGCTGATTTCAGGTAAGAATGAAAGATTCTCAGCATAATTTAAATGTTTAAGACGTAAACAGAGCCGTTCAGAGTGGTTTGGTGTGAAATACTCTGTTCTAGAGAAACTGACCGAGTCAGAACTGTTCACAGTGGTGGTGATAGGAACCAGACGTCCACCTCTAAAAGCTCCTCACAGAAAGTTACTACATGAAGTGTTTCTGAATTCACTGCCCGATGTCTGAGGTGGAGGTCAGATCTGGTGTGAAGCGTGTTCAGTTGTTCAGCTATATTAAAAATAGTTCAGCTCCAGCTGTTGAGGCGGCAGCTGGATTACACAAGCATTAAAGAACACACACGGTGCTCATCAAAAGTTTGGGGACGCTTTGCCTTCCCTTCAGAAGTTCTGCGTTTGATTCAGTAAGAAATCTCGCTGCGCAGGTTCAGTTCATCGTAAAGCAGCTCGGTGATGCTGCTTTGTGTGTATATTGTTCATCATCATCAGCTTCATGTTCATCAGAATCTCTTCCTCGGTGTGAAGAGCAGATTTTAAACAGTGATCCGACTGTTTTCTCTTCCAAACTGTTGTTAAACTCACACGTTGAAGCTCTTTTCCTTCAGTTCTGCAGTTTCTCCAGGAAAAAAATGGCAAAATATAAACAGCTTTAATATATTTTGCAAACTGACCAAAAACACAGGACCGTATCCTACATTCCCTGGTGTTTTATTTTTTTATTTTATTTTTTTATACTCCTTGTCACTTAGGATTAAACTGGCTCTTTTGTGTACTGTGCCTGTATGTAAATAAGCACTGTCCTGATTGGCTGTCCTGTATTGTGTCTCATTCAGAAAGCAGTCCAGACTGAAATACTTCTTAACATCAGTGTGAATGGGCGGGGCTAAACGGTGGTAGGCTGGATAGGCAAATGTATGCAAATGTGTTTGTGACATCACAACAGTGAATTCAAAACAGGCTGTTTTTGCAGCTTCGTTTCCATAAATGGAGCGGGGAGCAAACACTGAGTGTTTACATGCATTTAATAATCCGATCTGCAGAAAATCAGATTTGGTCAGTAATCCGATCAACGTGTTTACATGCACTTGAGTAATCAGATAATGGGGAAACTCTGGGTCTACATGAGTCAGACAGTAATCAGATTTCTGCTTTACAACCAGCCAATAAACTCACAGAAGAAGACGAGACGTAAACATAACATAAAACTTCAACATGCAGTGGCTTTTTTTAAAACGTCGCACCACTTTATCTGAAAATATGAACAAACATCATCTAGAAGATGAAGAATATTTAAATCCTTCATTTCGTCAGGCATGTATTTGGTTTCAGCGTCGCTCCAAAAGTGTTGTGCTGCGTCTCGCGGCGACACAGCTTACTTATTTTTCTGGTACCGCCATCTGTTTCGCACATGCTCAGACTGAGAAATCTGAAAGAAATCAGAGTAAGAGTTTACAGAACTGAGAAATCTGATTACTGAGCTAGAACCCAGCCTCTTTATTAATCAGATTTCTTAATCTGTCAGATTTCTAGACCTTACTCTGATCTAAGATATTGGAGTATGCTGTTTGCATGCGGAAATCTGATTATGATTGGATTATTGAGTGCATGTAAAAACACTCAATGTGTTCTGATACTAACAGTGTTCACATTACTTAAGGCAAAAAATTCTAGACGTTTTCACGATACACAAATGTGCATCACGATATTTCTTTTTTCTGAGATTCAGTAAGTTGGAACAGACAAAATAGAACCTGCTTTGCCACAATTAAAACTATAATAATAACTAGGAAGGGAAAGTTCATGAACAAACTTTAAGTTGGCTTGAAAAAGCCAGCTAATCGCGTTACACCGTTAAAATGGTGGAAGACGGTTGATGGTTGTTAAAATGTTGCTAAGTGCTTGTTGCAGTATCCAAGGTGGATGGTAAAGTTCCACCTTAAATTCTGTGCCACCTTAATTTTAGTGCTACCTTAAATGGAGTTCCACCGGAAATTCTGTGCCACCTTAATTTTAGTGCTATGTTAATTGCAGTTCCACCTTGAATTCAGTGCCACCTTAAATGTAGTTCCACCTTAAATTCAGTACCACCTTAATTTTAGTGCTACCTTTAATAGAGTTCCACCTTAAATTCTGTGCCACCTTAACTGAAGTTCCATCTTAAATGCAGTTCCATCTTTTTCAAGCCAACTTAGTAACGATAATGATAAACCTACAGCTATAATGTTTTTAATTCGCTGTTTTTCAAGCTGCACTTCACTAAATCCAGTTAAACAGGTCTAATTCTGCTCTCTTTGTAATGAAACCATGATATGCTCCGAAAAGAATATTGACATAATTTATTGTGATAACAATAAAATGTCTTATTGTCCACCCCTAAAAACATCAAAGACAGTTAGACTTTCTGTAGTACGAGCCCTTTAAACACATTAAAGCTCCCTATGTGTCTCCAGACGTCTGACCGGTGGTGTGGGCTGCCCGACTGCGGAGCGTTTAATGAGGAAAATCCTGGACTCTGTATCTGCTGTCGGTTTGCAGGCAGGGATTTGAGTCTGAGTGACAAATCCTGTATGTCTGTAAGTAGCAGTCGAGCTCAGGAGTGTCTGTGGGACACGTCTGCACCTCACACGACCCCCAGCTCGGAGAACGGCCTGCGTTCTGAACAGAGGCACGTTCACCACCGCAGGACGCTGCTCTAATGAAGACGCAGCGCAGCAATGAAGCTTCAAAGGTCTGTTTTTTTTGGCTGGTACTGTATGAGTGAGGGGCGGCACAGTGGTGCAGTGGGTGGCCCTGTCGCCGGGTGACCAGGGCAGGGTCCTTTCTGTGTGGAGTTTGCATGTTGTCCCTGTGTCTGCATGGGTTTCCTCCCACAGTCCAAACCATGCAGTCGGGTGAACTGGACATGCTAAAATGTGTGTGAATGTATATGTCTGTCTGTCTGCCCTGCGATGAACTGGCGACCTGTCCAGGGTGTATCCTGCCTTCCACCCAATGACTGCTGGGACAGGCTCCAGCTCCCCCCGTGACCCAGAGGAATAAGGGGCTTAGAAGATGTGTGTGTGTGTGTGTGTGTGTGTGTGTGTGTGTGTGTGAGAGAGAGAACATCATCACATACTTAAAGAGCCCGACTACATTTTTCTATTTCCGTTATTACCTTATAAAATTTGTGGGGTTTTAAAACACTTAAGTTTCTACATGATCATTTCCCAGCCTTAGAATTAAACAGGCTAATGTATGTATGTAAATGAGCTCTGTTCTGATTGGCCGTCCTGTATGCTGCCTCATTCAAAAAGCAGTCTGGACTGAAACACTCCTTATAACTTCAGTCTAAATGGGCCGTTGAGCCGTTAGCTGTTGAGCTCCATTTACTCCTATTCATTGAGGACTTGCTCGAGGGCGCCCTCTGCTGTTTAGCAGTCATGTTTTTGATATAATGGGGGAAATAGGAAGAGGCCAGGCTCCTCATAAACCGGCTCTGGTTTTACTGTTGCCATAGTAACTGCTTTTTGTCGTGGTAACACACTGCGGTCAAGAGGAGTGAAAACTCCCGAATGAAAACCACCGACGCATTCAACACATTCTTCTCTTCCCTTTAATAAAAACAATAAAACAAAACATAAAAGATATTTAGGCCACACATATGATGCGATCTACATTACAGAACTACATTATTATCAGTAATATTAGAGTGAGTGCAACCAGTAATATAAACAAGATCAATATTCCACACAGTCGCGCCGCAGCGAGGAGGACCGGCGTATCACACGCTCAGTGGTGCTCAACACTAAACAGTCTACTGCATCACTGACACTGGATTTTCAGAGTCCACTGTGGATGCAGTTAGACGCTCACCTTCAGCTGAACGTCTATTGAAGGGGAACTCCACCAATTCCTATGTAATTCAGTCATTGAGGTGTAATCAGAGTGATTCAGAGTGGTTTGGTGTGAAATGGTTCAGATGTCTTTACAGTGGTGGTGATAGGAACCAGGGGTCGCCATGACTACAACACAGATATAGACATTTTATTTACTATCCAGAACCACCAGTGAACCTACACGAGTCTTCTGAGTTTATAAGGAATGTTGATGATGGAAAATAGTGGAAAATCTGAAATAGAACATTTTTTACTGGGGCCTATTTTGCCTCAGCATGTATCCCTCCGCCATGAATGGATTTAAAGAATACATTTTTAGACAAAAATCTTCTCAAAACTGTCATTAAACAGTGTCTCAGTCATCAGGCAGTGAATTCAGAACCATTTCATGTAGTAACTTTCTGTGAGGGAGCTTTTAGAGGTGGACGTCTGGTTCCTATCACCACCACTGTGAACAGTTCTGACTCGGTCAGTTTCTCTACAACAGAGCGTTTCACACCAAACCACTCTGAACGACTCTGTTTACATCTTAAGCACGTAATTATACAGAAATTTTGGAAAATCTGTGGAATTCCCCTTTAAATTCAACTTGTCTCTAAAGATAAACCCAAAGCTGATCCAGAACCTGTTTCTAACGCTGGGTTAAAGGTTGTATGAGCACCTGCAGATGAAGACAGTGGACCATCAAAATGAAGTGCAGTACTATTTGGTGGTTTCTGATTTGGATGGTCAGTCTGAGCTGTGTAGATATTGGTGCAATGAGACCTCCAGGGTCACTCTGTAGGAGCAGTGACGTGAGGGTCCAGTGCCTGTCAAAAGTTTGGGGACACCTTGCCTTGTCTAAATATATGATTGCTCACATCACAACAAAGGGGTAGACTGTGTGACCTTTGGCTTTATTCCCAAGACAGCACTTTTATCCGAAGCTTCTTCAGCTTTGTACAAAGAAAAATGTCAAAATTTAAACAGCTTTCTGTTTAATATGCTACATTATTGCAAAGTGGCAAAGGAAGTGTGCTCACTTATTACAAAAATGACTGAGATGGTGGCTGGGTGTCCCCAAAGTTTTGATGGGCAGTTTAAAATAGGGCCTGACTGATATGGACACTGTGCAAAACTGACTTTAAGGAGCTGAAAAATCCAGAGAAGTGATAATAATAGCTGATATACTGTCATTACATTTGGTAAAAAAATTGAGTTTTGGAGTTAAACAGTGCTTTACTGATGGGTGTGAGTGTCAGATCATTTTACATATACTTCATTCATATATATATGTATATATATATATATATATATATATATATATATATATATATATATATATATATATATATATATTTACACACATTACTTCTGTTTTATCTCTGGGATTTTTGCTAATACCAATAAATCCGTAAATTATTAACCCTCTGGGGTCCATTAATGCTTGTCAAATCCTCTGTTTCTATATCTGTGTCTGTATCTTTGTGATGATCCAGCTCAGAAATCCAGTTCAAACACTTCCTGAATCTGTAGAGTCGCCCTTTCCATTCCATCTTATCACGAGATCATACGAGACTCACATCCGGAGTTATGAGCCTATGAAGAGGGGCTGAGATACACGTCATCTGCCTCTCACCGTGTGGAACTGGTGGATTCGTGTGTCCGTCTACATTCTGTGTGAAACTGACCAATGGACACTCAGGAAATCACTAAGGACTGACCATCACGCCGGAAACCCTTCATTCTTCATTCAGTCCACATCGGAGACTCATGTGAAACGGCGTGCAGAGAGTTTACAGCTGCTGAAGCTGCTGCAGTGGTTTTGGAAAGTAGTGATGAAGATAACGGAGCATTTAGATATGAAACATATGAGGATCATGTTATATGGAGAGCCTCTAAAGGAGAGTTTAAGAGGATCAAATCAGAACCCAGAGTGTTAATACTGGATTATTTTATCAGCCAACAGTATAGCGGTCAGGCCCTACTGTAAAGGCCCATCACTGTCCATCAGAGTGATTCTCCTCTAAACACTGGAACACAATCTGAGTCTGAGATGGTCTGTGGTAACAGGGTAGTGTGGCTGTGACAGCAGGACTGATGTGAAGAGGAGACGACTGGTAGGTTTCGGTCTAAAACAGCAGCAGCGCACGGACTCACTTCTGCTTTATAATAAAAGATTCAAAATATAAAACCTCCAAACGTTACAGCACTTCTCAGGACAAAGATACGCCTCGTATCAAATGATGAGGCGTGAGCTGTAGACGAGCACTCGGCTACGAGACCACTGGATTCGCTCTGTCTGCACGTCACTCTGCTCACGCTGCGAGCCGCTCAGCCACGAGTTCACATGAGTTCAGAGGATTCTTACTGACGGAGAGTTTTAAACTCAGCTAGACTGAAGCAAAGTCAGAACGCTGCCGGTTCGTTTCATATTTGAAGATTCTCCAAACATACTTTGAGTTACCAGTGAACGGTATGGTTTTTGAAACTTCAACAGTGTTTATGCATCACTTTAAACAGCTTTATTTCAAATAAAGTGGAAAATTCACACATTAATGTTTTAATCCAATGTCCAGTGCCACCTGCTAGCTGGGTATCGGTTGTCCGGCATCACTAGGAATCAAAATCACAACCTTTCTGGCAATAAAGCCGACACTGGGTGGGTTGCGCCAGTTGGGAGCCCCCTGATGAGGAACGTGGTTCTCTCATACAACATTTAAAGAGACATTATTGCGTTTGAAACAGTTACCGGTTTATTTAAAACACCCACCTTGTAACTACACTCATTGGCCATTTTATCAGAAACACCTACCATACAGGTGCACCTTGTGTATCTGCATCTGTTACTGTACAGTTTATCAGCCCCCCTCGACCCCAGTCATCAGTGGTCCACCACAGAACCACCTGACTAGATATTATTTGGGTTATTATTTGGGCCAAATATTGTCCAAGACTTATTCAAAAAGGGGAATTCCACCAATGTTTCAAAATTCCTGCATAATTCAGTGTGTGAGGTGTAAACAGAGTGATTCAGAGTGGTTTGGTGTGAAATGGTTCAGATGTCTTTACAGTGGTGGTGATAGGAACCAGGGGTCGCCATGACTACAACACAAATAGACATTTTATTTACTATCCAGAACCACCAGTGAACCGATAATGAAAAAACAGTGGAAAATCTGAAATAATAAGTTTTCTTTGGGGACTATTTTGCCTCACAGCGCCCTGCATATTATGTATCCCTCCACCATGAATGGAGTTTAAGTTCTCAAAACTATCATAAAACAGTGTCTCAGTCATCAGGCAGTGAATTCATAACCGTTTCATGTAGGAACTTTCTGTGAGGGAGCTTTTAGAGGTGGACGTCTGGTTCCTATCACCACCACTGTGAACAATTCTGACTCGGTCAGTTTCTCTAGAACAGAGCGTTTCACACCAAACCACTCTGAACGACTCTGTTTACATCTTAACCACTTAATTATGCAGAATGGAATTCCTGTGTAATTCGGGGTCTGGACTGGACTGATCTGAACTCTCAGCTTGTCCCCTGATGAAGCACAGTTAAACGTTCAGTCTCTGCCTGTTAAAGTGGCCTTCAGCATTCTGACTGAGCTTCTGGACACTGATCACTGTAAGTTAAATACGTAAATATACAATGTTTTTATTAAAAACACACTAACGAGTGGTTTAATCAGTAAAGCACTCCTCGCTCTCGAGCCTTAACTAACGCTGGGCCTTTACTCCTGTCTGTGGAGGAAAAGAAATCAGACTGAAAGCTTCGGTCTCTCTCTCCCTCTCTCTCTCTCTCTGTGCGGGAGTTGTTCACAGTAGTGGACGTTCTCTCTCACTCCGAGTTCCAGCTGATCCTCTTACAGACAGCGCTTCTCTTTAGCAGGAGCTCCGGGCGGCCAGTGATTCACTCTGCAGAACAAAAACACACATCAGCAGATGCAGAAACAGCCTTATTAAAGTGTGCGTATACACACATTCAGGGACACCCAGCGTCTCAAATGATCTTCATACAAATGTGCCGAATGTGACACAAAGACTCAAATGAGGAAATGGATCCCAAACTGGGACTCAAGAAGAAAACGCAGAGTTTAGCAAACAGAGAGTTTAGGAAACACTGAGTTTAGGACTTTACGCACAGAGCTCAGCTCACTGACGGGACAGAGAGACTCAGCAGAGCGTCGAGGGCAGATTTGGCTGAATCTTAAATGGACAATTTAAGAAGCTGCTGTTTATTTAAACGTCAGCTTACGCTTTATAAATGAGCACGAGGATTTTCTGCAAACTAAACAGGAGAACATAACGCTGCACTGTCCCATTTTACCTGAACCCACCAAATATTATACACTGTTGGAAATAAAGGTTCTGTGCAGGTACATTTTTGGTTCATCAAGGTACAAACAGTGTAAATGTTCCCTCAAAGCTCCAACAGCGGTTTTAAGGTCTGATTGTGAACCTTAAATAAGTTTTTCCAGATGAAAAGTTCGTATTTGTTCCTTTTCATAACCGAATGTTTTAAACAGAACAGTAAAATAAAAGCCTGGAGACGAGACGGGGTGTGTGGAGTCAGTACAGCTTATTATTATGGTACAATTATGTTCCCTGACTAAAAGCACTGAGATGTACCCTATATATAAATATATATACATTAAAATGTGGCCCGTGCAAAAGTTTTTTGTGCATTTTAGAATTTGTTTTATTTTTTTCCAATATGTTTCATTTAGTAATTAAACAACAATTGTGTATTAAAATGTGCAGAAATGTGTCTCAGTCAAAGATGTTGTTGTTCCCCGTCATGTGGAACAAACATGTTATTGCGGCCCAAAGTTTAGGAAACACTGATTTAGGGGAAAACTAAGCAACTAAAAGCAAGCAAACAAAAAAACATTCTATACACTGAGATAAAACCTCTCTGTATCCATTAGAATTAAACAGGCTGTTTTTGTTAAAGTACCTTTAAGACTGTAATATCACTGCTGTCGGAGCAAAATCTCATATCTCCAAAATGGCAACTTTAGAGGAGAAGAAAAAACATACTTTACTTTTAATGTAAGTCAATGGAACCAGAATTTTTACCAAGTCAGTTTGGGTCATTTCTGTTGGTCCATTCATCATGAAATTTACACACAATGAAAAAAGAGCAACAGGCATTTTCAAATACAAGGTTTTGTTCCGACACCAGGAATATATTCAAACCCACATTTATATATTTATATTATATAGTGTACATTACTTTACTCTCAGAAATAAAGGTACTAAACTGTCACTGGGTCAATGCCCCTCTTGTCACTGGGGTGGAACCCTCAAGGCTCCATCTCAGTACCTTTAGTCAGGGAACATAACTGAAACATAATCCACTGAAATGATATGTTCTAAGCTGTACTGACTCCACACACCCCGTCTCGTCTCCAGGCTTTTATTTTACTGTTCTGTTTAAAACATTCGGTTATGAAAAGGTACAAATACAAACTTTTCACCTGGAGAAACTTATTTAAGGTTCACAATCAGACCTTAAAACCACTGTTGGAGCTTTGAGGGAACATTTACACTGTTTGTACCTTGATGAAGTAAAAATGTACCTGAACAGAACCTTTATTACTAACAGTGTATTTTTTTTTGTTTAAATTCTCTGTTTTAGAATTAAATGCTGACTTTCTGTCAGAAGTATATAATCCATCATCCAGTCACTGTCCAATCACAGCCCTCTTCTGAAGAAAGGGGGTGTGGCTGTAATAAATGTCCAACCACAGCCTTCTGCTAAACTCTTGGGCATTGCTGTAATCCTAAGCAGCAGCTCCTCAGTGAAGCTGCCCATCAACTCTGATTTAAGATCAGACCTAAAACTGTATTCGTCACCACTGTTGTACCTTTGAGGGAACATTTACACTGTTTGTACCTTGATGAATTAAAAATGTACCTGCACAGAACCTTTATTTCCAACAGTGTATAATATATGGAAATGAGCTCTGTTCTGATTGGCTACCCTGTGTTGTGCCTCATTCGGCCTCGTCCAAAGTTAACTGCTGCAAACTGATTACACAGATATGTGTAAATATGATGGTTTGTGTGACGTCATAAAAACAGTGTTTTACAGTGTTTATTGTACAGCAAACTTCTCTATTTGTTTAAAGTGAGTGTGTGGGCCTTTAAAGTTAGCTGGCTAAGTAAGAAACCCTGCTTCCTGAGACCCCCGCAGGAAAATTACTGAAAACCAACAAAGAAAACCTGGGACTTCTGACAGGCCGTGTACTCTGTGAGTGAGGAATTAATCACAAATATTTCCTATAATCCTGTTTGCTCACATTTTATGGACTTCAAAGCTAAACTGTGCAGCTAATGAGCACTGTGGCGTTTCTTTAAAGCTCCGTCAAAGCGGATCACTGCAGGCAGCTACGCTGAGTGGTGTGACAGTGAAGTGGACTGAGCTGAGGACTGTTTCCTCCTCGTCTGTCTGAACGCAGCAGCAGAGAGGAAAACGCTGAGCGTCCGCGGAATGTTCAGTGTCCTGTGGTACTTACTCTACGGCACACTCCACCACCTGGCCGGCCACGCCCCCCTCAGAGACCTGCGGCAGCGCTGCACAACGAAAACACAAAGACAGTCATTTACACTCACGTTCAAACGTACGAAGTCACCATTAAAAATACAGAACAGCCATTAAAACATATGGAATCACCTTTCAAACGTGGAGCTGATACACCGATCAGGCAGAACATTCTGACCACCTCCTTGTTTCTACACTCATTGTCCATTTTATCAGCTCCACTTACTATATAGGTGCACTTTGTAGTTCTACAGTTACAGACTGTAGTCCATCTGTTTCTCTGATACTTTGTTAGCCCCCTTTTACCCTGTTCTTCAGTGGTCAGGACCCCCATGGACCCTCACAGAGCAGGTACTATTTGGGTGGTGGGTCATTCTCAGCACTGCAGTAACACTGACGTGGTGGTGGTGTGTTAGTGTGTGTTGTGCTGGTCTGAGTGGATCAGACACAGCAGAGCTGCTGGAGTTTTTAAACACCTCAGTGTCACTGCTGGACTGAGAATAGTCCAGCAACCAAAAATATCCAGCCAACAGCGTCCTGTGGGCAGCGTCCTGTGTCCACTGATGAAGGACTAGAGGATGACCAACACAAACTGTGCAGCAGCAGATGAGCTATCGTCTCTGACTTTACATCTACAAGGTGGACCGACAAGGTAGGAGTGTCTAATAGAGTGGACAGTGAGTGGACACAGTGTTTAAAAACTCCAGCAGCACTGCTGTGTCTGATCCACTCAGACCAGCACAACACACACTAACACACCATCAGTGTTACTGCAGTGCTGAGAATGACCCACCACCCAAATAGTACCTGCTCTGTGAGGGTCCATGGGGGTCCTGACCACTGAAGAACAGGGTAAAAGGGGGCTAACAAAGTATCAGAGAAACAGATGGACTACAGTCTGTAACTGTAGAACTACAAAGTGCACCTATATAGTAAGTGGAGCTGATAAAATGGACAATGAGCGTAGAAACAAGGAGGTGGTCAGAATGTTATGCCTGATCTGTGTAAATTCAATAATCTAAAATCGGTAGCATGTTAATGAAAGATTAAATAAACATTTATAAAGTATACAAGTTTTACATGATATTAATATAGACTATGTCATTTTACTGTGATACATTTTTCAAAATAAAAGTCCTCAATTTTTATTTTTAAAAAGTGTACTATGTTCAGTAAAACGCCTCATTTCTGGACAGGCCAAAATAAAAATGACCTTGCTTTATCTCTTTGATCGCTAAGTGCTTTAGCACATTTTATCTGTACTTTAATTTTTTTTATTATCTGTTTCTTCTTCATCATTCGTTGCTTTGCATGTCACTTTACTATATGGACAGTAAATTACTCATAAATATGTTTATGAATAATCATTTGACTGAATCATAGTATGATGGTGTGCCTGAGAGCCAAAGCACTTAATGACCAAAGAGGTAAAGCAAGGCCATTTTCATTTTGGCTGTCCAGAAATGAGGCGCTTTACTGAAAACAATTTAGTTTTTAAGGCAAATTTTTCCATATTCATGTAAAATGTAAACTCCTTTATTCATTTTTTTTAAATTTGGAGCACTCACTCAACACTGCTAGCTAAATGAGCATGCTTTAGTTTAGCTCCAGTAGTTGCTCAGTTTAGGTTACAGATTCCGTAGTTGTTTGGCTCTATTAGTGATGAGAAATTAAAGCTGTGTAGACCATCCAGTTTAATATAAGCATACAGTTGTTTTGTGGTTAAAACCTTAAAAAAATCATGGAGGAGGGATACATGCAGGGTGTTGTGAGGCAAAATAGTCCCCAAAGAAAACTTATTATTTCAGATTTTCCACTATTTTCCATCATCAACATTCCATATAAACTCAGAAGACTCGTGTAGGTTCACTGGTGGTTCTGGATAGTAAATAAAATAGCTATGTTTGTAAAATTGTCCTGATGTTACAGATGAATTGTTAAAGGGGAATAAATAATACATTATGATGTCTAGTTTGGATACTCTACAGTGTATAAGTTATTATTGTATATAAAAGAGCTGCTGAATATGATATGATTCCAGACTGGTGAACAGTAGAGCTTCATCTCTCAGCTCTGTGCACTGTACAGCGATGTTATGTAAGACTGTAAGACTGAACTCGCTGAGTGTGATTTAATGCAGCACGTGCTGTGTGTCCGGCTGAGAGAGCACACACTGGACACGTGTTCTAACATCTGCAGGACTGGTCAGCATGTCCGAACACTTCAGACTGCAGCTCACTTTAATCAGCACTGACACAAAACGTGCTGATAACTCAGAACATCTTCCACAACAAACAGGCAACAAATATCAGTGAGACATTCAGTAATAAATCAGCTTTCAGAACAGCAGCTCAGTTTACAGAGGTTTACTGTATTCATCTGTTCACATCTGAGCAAAACACGCTTACAGTTCTGCACAATGTAAACACGCTGGCCACTTTATCAGAAACCCCTATCCACCTTGCTGGTGTTCAGTTAGAGACAGTAGTATAGGGCAGGTGTTTCTAATAAAGTGGCCTGTGAGTTAAGCACAAGGTAGCTGTTTCTAATAAAGTGGCCAGTGAGTGAAGCACAAGGCAGGTGTTTCTAATAAAGTGGCCTGTGAGTTAAGCACAAGGTAGCTGTTTCTAATAAAGTGGCCAGTGAGTGAAGCACAATGTAGGTGTTTCTAATAAAGTGGCCAGTGAGTGAAGCACAAGGTGGGAGTTTTTAATAAAGTGGCCAGTGAGTGAAGCACAAGGTAGGTGTTTCTAATAAAGTGGCCAGTCAGTGGAAGCACAAGGTAGGTGTTTCTAATAAAGAGGCCAGTTAGTAGAAGTTCAAGGTAGGTGTTTCTAATAAAATGGCCAGTGAGTGGAAGCACAAGGTGGGTGTTTCTAATAAAGTGGCCAGTGAGTGGAAGCACAATGTAGGTGTTTCTAATAAAGTGGCCAGTGAGTGGAAGCACAAGGTAGGTGTTTCTAATAAAGTGGCCAGTTAGTGGGAGCACAAGGTGGGTGTTTCTAATAAAGTGGCCAGTAAGTGGAAGCACAAGGTAGGTGTTTCTAATAAAGTGGCCAGTAAGTGGAAGTGCAAGTAGGTTTATAAATAATAATACTCAACACTTACTGTGCTCCTCTACACAGAGTGAACAGACTCCGTCCAGCAGCTCTTTGGCCTCAGCAGCCAGTTGGCACGCGGGGTCTGGGATGGGGGACGGCGTGTCCGGGCTGTCTGTCGCCGGGGACGATCTGGTGCTCCTGTAGAAGCAGGAAGTGACCTCACATCAGTCCAGATTACAGTCCGTAGCAGAGTGTGTGGGTTGGGATATTTGGAGAAATTCACTTTTCTTTAACTCACCCGTTTTCAGTCCCAAATAAACTGGTGGTGCTGAGAACTTTATGGACGTTCTGTTAGAAAGCAAAGTGCAAAAAGAAATCTAAACTCAAGGATTTAGGAAACAACCAGCTGCCAGTCTGAAGATCATAAGAAATGGACTTATATTAGAAAAAAGAACGTTTCAGTTTTAACATCTGTGAATCTGTCGGCACGTCCGCCTGCCATCACACACAGGTGAGCTAAGTTTACCTGAGCAAATCCCAGCAGCTTCTTATTGGAGATTTCCAAATGTTTCCTGGACACTTCAGACCGTCTCAGCTGACTGTCGATGATAGAAAGCCTCTTATTCAGCTCCATCATTTCTTCCTGTTGGGAAAAAAAGCCCCATTAATAACCTGCTTCAAAAATCCAGCATTAGTGCTTTAAAAGGATTTGGGGGCTAAACGAGTCTGCAGTGCTCTGACAGCAGACATGCTGCCTGAAAACAGGCTGGGAGCTCCACCTTTGGACGTCTTGGGTGGTTTAAGTTAGACGAGAATTTTCTACTGAACACAAACTCATCTGTAATCATGACGTTGAGTTTTCCCAAAAACACTGTCAGTAAGGCTGCGTTTACACAGCAGGTAAAAGTGGCCCAAATCTGATTTTCTCACCAAATCCGATTTGTTGTTTGTCTGTTCACATTACCTTTTAAATGTGATCTGTGTGCGACATCAGTCTGAACAGAACAGCTCCTAAACTGACCCACATGCGCAAAAGAACAGAGCTTCACATGGCGGCTCGTCCAGAGGTAAACAATCATGACGGCCAGTGAACGCCAGTCGCTCCCGCAGCTTTCAGTTTCGTCTTCGCCAGCATCACAGGAGCGAGTATGAAGTTCCAGTGGTTGACAGCTGGACTCATCACCCAGAATGTGTTTGAGTTCACCGTAAAAAGGGCTCGTTATTCGGCCTCGGCCACTTCTTTGGTTCGTGTCCTTGGATTCTTTAAACTGTTCTCTGACGCTGCAGCCTTTGGTCTCCTCCGGCCGTGTTCGGCTGTTTCGTTCGAAACCTCTTCGAACACGGAGGGTTTTGATCAGTCTCTTCTAATGTTTTGGTACAGAAACATCAGACTAAATGTTTTTGAGTCTCAGCAGCGCGAAATTATGACGAATGTGGAGTTGGATCGATGTAAAAGTCACATGAATTCCGATCTGGCTGTTCAGACAGAGTCGCATTGCCGCAGATCGGATACGTATCGGATTTGAATACGTATTTTGCCCACTGCGTTTACATATTTAAACAACTTCATTACTAGGCATGCTAGTTAGCATGCTAAAGGCTACACAGCTAACAACAACAACAACAAAAAGAAAGGCACTACACCACGTTTATAACCAGGCAGGGCAATTATTTAAAAATATATGTACAGTCTGTTCAGACTTCTCCAGAAATGTTTTGCATTAAAAAGTTTGCATGGCTATTTGATTAGCTCACTGAGGCTAACCTGCCTAGTGCTATGAATGGCAGGAGTGACATACTGTCAATTACACAACAAAATGTGTAAACTTTTTTCTCTATTGTTACGGTAGCTACAGTACAGTGAGCTCAACTATTTCCTATCCGGCACCACCAAAGGTTTGACCAGGCCGCACTGAAATGAACAACTGAGGTCGAATTTAATTTTAAACAGCTTGCTAAGGGTCCAGGGTCGCGGTAGCAGTTGGGAGAGCAGAGAGTCCCAAACCTGTCCCCCGCAACGTCCTCCAGCTCATTCTGGGGGACCCTGAGCTGCTCCCAGGCCAACTTGGAGATATAATCCCTCCAGCGTGTCCTGGGACAACCTCGGGGTTTCGTCCCAATAGGCCGTGCCTGGTACACCCCCACCGGGAGGCTTCCAGGAGGCATCCTGATCAGATGCCTGAACCACCTCAAAGGAGAAAGCTCATTTCCGCCACTTGTATCCGCAAAACTCATTCTTTTGGTCATTACCAAAATATTTTGGTCCTGACCGTAGGTGAGGGTAGGGATGTAGACTGACCGGTAAACAGAGAGCTTTGCCTTATGGCTCAGCTTCCTCTTCACCTCTACAGTCTGGTACAGTGACCGCATTACTGCTGCTGCCTGTCCCAGCCTTTTGGCCTTTTCACCAAAATTTGTGGTGGCTGAAATTTTGGTGCCTCCTTACAATTGAATTTTCCTTTAAGCATCACTAAAGTTTATCAGAGTCCTGACTCTGAAAAGCGTCTCTGCAGTGAGATGCAGTGGAAGAGGAAGACTCACCTTAGTGACCTCTGTGCTCCTGCGTTTTTTGCCAGCGAGCTGGTCCTTCAGGTCTTTTATCTCAGCCTCCAGAAGCTGGATGACCTCCTCGTAGTCCTGCTCTGCGCTGTTGGTCTCTCTCTGCACGGCCTCGGCCACCTGCAGCCGGCTCTTCAGAGACTTATTCTCCTCCACTGTCGCTGTGGCTTTCTGAAACACACGCGTGTCAACGTTCAGATGGGAGACTTCACAGAAAAACGTAACATTTATGGGCTGAAACCCTTAACTGAGCTCAGGAGTCGCAACTCAAATGTGAAGAAGAGCCATTTTGTCCTTTCAATAAAAATCAAACCACTTTGGGAGCCACAACATTTCAGGTCCATTTTACCATCTTGGCTGTAAATGTGTCTCAGTATGTGCTGATGAACTAGTATAGGCTAAAAAATATAATATAAACAAAAACACAGACTGACTTTGCTCTGCTTTAAGCTTTAGCTCAGCTATAGCTGCTTTTCTCGCATCTCCAGCAGGAAACTTTTCCTCAAAAGTAGATCAGTTTCTTGTAAAACGTCTCTCAACATTTGATTTTTACGAGGCTGAAGTCGCTTCTCATTCGCCAGCTTCTTGTTCGAATTTTCCTGTTCCACCTTAAATGGTGCCTGAGGCGACAGAATGTGACTGCTATTCCATTTAAGATGGAACGAGAAAATTCGAACGAGAAGCTGGCGAATGAGAAGCGACTTCAGCCTCGTGACTTTTTAGTGTTTGTCAGTTTCTCGCTGCAGATTAAACGTATCAGGAAACCAGCTGGAGTGATTATAAACACAAATAAGTCCATTCATCTCCAAATTATCAATGTTCATCTTAAATCTCTCTCTTTGCCGTTTCGTTAGCTACTAGCTAGGCGAGATTGTTGTCTGTGTTGCTATGGTGACCAGCAGTCTGCGCTGATCTTCAGGGTTAAAGGGTGAATCAGCAGTTCTACATTAACTCCAGAGTTTAAGACCATTTATTGTTAAACTGTGTTGAACGATCAGCAGAGCTTTATTTTACTGTAAAGGAGGATTATTTTATTTTTACCTACTAATCTGATTCAGCTGTGGAGCCACAACAGGGCAGTAAAAGAGCCGCCTGCCACATGTTGTCAACCCCTGAACTAGACTAACCTGGACTAACATTAACCCAGACTCTAACTGACTGAGAAGCCTGGCTCAGCCTTTCAGGTAAGAAGCTACTGTTAATGTGTATCACACTGTTTGTGTTTTCTGGCTTATTGGTAGTTAACTTTTTCATGTATACCTGTTTGGGCTTACAATGCAGTACAGCTTCATTAAATTCTATTGATTTTTACCTCGGCTGTCTTCTGAAGCTCCTCCTCCAGAGTTTTCTTACTGTTCTCAGTGTCCTTCAGCAAACCCTGAGAAAATCAGTGAAATTCAGTTACACAGCAAACATCTTCAAAGGCTAGGATTTAGCATGGAGCGTGCACCAATAACAACAGCCTGCCATCTGTTTAATGATCAGAACGCATAGTTGGACCATTTTACTGAGTTCAAACTGCGCTCTCACAGTAAACTAACTTAAAAAATCAAGTATTCATATCTTACACATTTCCAAGGATAATGCTCTGATCTATTTAAACTCAAGGCATTAACAGAAACAGTAATAAGCTAAATATATCAAAAATCATCATTAATAGGGTACTTTCTATTGGGGGGTGTCTGTCCGAAAACCAAACCCCTAAATTTACACTTGTGGAAATGATGCTTACATTTTTTGTATTTTTTTCATTCATGTTTTTTAAGATCTTTTTGATTTTTATTGAACTGAATAATAAAGATTTAGATTTATCATGAGTTTGTTTTTTAAATAAAAACAAATTTTCAAAAATGTCCCACCATTTCACGTCACAACCGAATAGCTTTATTTTAGCCACGCCCCTGCATTTTAGAGCAGGAAGTGAGGCTGCATGGTCCCTCATGGCCACATGGTGAGCAGTTAGATCCCATTGTTTTGAAGTAAATGTGTCCCAAAGTCTGAAAATCAGTGTGGAACATTAGGAACTGTCACTACCGCAAAATTTTTATGATGATGTAAACTTTTTTGTGTTCTAATAAAAATATGATGGTTTTATGTGTGAACAGCTGTTCAAAGCCATGCTTCTTAGTCATGTACTGGCTGGGTTTTTGAGCTCAAAATGAGTTAAAATTGTCACCGAAACAGTCACTACTGAAACATTTGGTAAAGTTTGGTAGAGTTATGATTGTATCAGCAGTGAAAAAGCAATATTCAATATAAAGTTTTAATAAAATAAACATAATTAAGGTTTAGAGTCACTCAGAGCAAAAGGATTTTAGTCTAAGATCAGTTAAAAGTCCCAAATGTGTTTCAGCTCTGACTCTGAACCAGTTCAGTAGACTATGATCCAGTTATGACTAACAATTTCAATTTGCATCTTAAATGAAAATTCTTTTTATTTGTAGTTCACTGAAACAAGTGGAGAAACTGTGTGGAAAGTGCAGATTCTAAACGTTAAACCTGTAACACATGACTGATTTTAATTATGATTTAAATTGTTTTGCATCCTTTACATTCTGTCTGATGTCTTTGTGATTTTTTGGATTAAATCAAACAGAAGAACATGAGAAGTGCGGACTCAGATCCGTCCATACAGAATAAAAATCAACTGTGACTGTAATTTATTACACAACACTGTAATTATGTGAACTGCATAGCAAAACTACACTAATAACTACCGACTCTATAAGTAAACTACGAGTAAATTGTTGCTGTAATGATCCTCACCTTCAGCTGTTTCATCTGCAGCTGGAGCTGCTTCACCTCTGACTGAAACTGCTCCATCTCCTCACTGCTGGAGCTGCACTCCGACTCATACGTCTGACACAAAGAACCACACAGATGAGCTGTTTAAGGTCCATTTCTATGGTTTTTAGGCAGCTGAGTCAGCAGCATAGTTCACTACCAGCATAATGAGCTCCATTTATCTCTACTGTAAAACGCTGCTTTCACTGTGAGATGATTTTCTTTTCTAACTCTGCGCTTTAAAGATCTCAGACGCTGCAGACTCGATCTCCACCGCCCCTCTGATCACCTTCGTGTGTTAATGTTGATGATGAAATATTACAGTGATGGTGGTGAATAATGAGGAGACGGAGCTGAACGTGTGTCTGTTTATTAGGAGGAGTAACGTTAGCGCGCTCAGCTAAAGCGTTTGGGAAATGGAGACTGAAACTGGGGAGCGGCGACGCTCTGATAAACAGCAGGGGGCGCTCTCACAGCATTCACAACCTACAGTTTATCACACTTAAGTTCAGTTTGACCTTTTTGACATCAGTAACTGCAGCTGTCTGACTGACCAACTTAATCATTCTGATGACGTATTTACATTTCAGCTGTGTGTTTATGGTCGGTTGCTAGGAAACGGACATTACAGTTGATTGTTGACTTCAATTGAGTAAGTTAAAGTTTCCTAACTGGGCATAAGATGCTGTAAGATAAGATAAAATCCCTAAATTAAGATCAGATTTGCTTCTTTAATGTGATTTTGTGAAAAATCTTATCTGGACCTGTCAGATCATAAGACACAAAGACAGGAAGTCTCTGTAATACGGCCCCTGGGGCTGCGGGTGTGACCAGTTTAACAGCTCAAGGGTACAAACTGTTCTTGAACTTGGTGAATAATCTATAGTTCACACTGTATGATTTACAGTAGGTACTGAAAAAATACATACATAACTCTTAATCTTGAATTTTCAAACTGAAGATCTCACAACAACAGTAATCTGTCGCGTACATGCCTGCAGGTCACACTGTGTCCTAAACCACATCTACGAGTCTGCACCCCCTTAGAGAAGACCTGGGTGTGGTTTGAGCGGATTGAGAGACGTTTCGGGGACGTATTTTTATGCAAAACATTTGGGTGACTATTGACTTCTAGTGTTTTTTTAGCAATGTAGCTACAGCGCTAAACTAAAGAAGCAAAATGTGGACACCAAACATGTCTTGGCTGATCGACTCCATCTGGGGAATGTGGGGAATATGTTATTATGACCCATCAAAGCTGAAAAATTGGTGTCCCTAAACTTTTGATGGGCAGTGCAGTTCCATGTGCTCCTTTAAACTCCTCATGGTGGACTTACAGGTGAGTGGAAGGCGGAGGTGTCCATCAGACTGGCTGCTTCATGATAGGAGAACATGAAGGGTCCCTGCGCTAGCCCCGCCTCCTCCAGCTTATCATGGTACACGCTGCGCGTCGCCTCCACGAAATCTGATTCATAAGGAAAAATAAACTGTTTTAGGGAGAAAAAACACATCAGCGCTTTAATATAGAACACTTTTAATGAAAATGGTTCTATATAGCACTGAAACGGGTTCCTCTACTGTGACAAGCTTGACACTGGAACAATAGCAGAACCCTTTTTGTGCTATATAGAACCATATAAACACATTCTTCATCTATCTGAAGAAGCATTTTACCATGAAAAGAAGCATGCAAATGGCTCTATATGGAACTCATGGTTCTAAATAGAACCATTCCCTTTACTAAAGAACGCTTGGATTCAAGAACCATCTTTTTTTAAGAGTATATGACCCAAATATAGACATTTTATTTACTATCCAGAACCATCAGTGAACCTACACGAGTCTTCTGAGTTTATATGGAATGTTGATGATGGAAAATAGTGGAAAATCTGAAATAACAATAAGTTTTCTCGCAAACACAAGACTTTTTCCAGCCAGATGTTCAGTACGCTAATTAAGCCGAGCAGAAAAGGTGTCATGCTCCAAAAAATATGTAAAATAAATTAAATGTATTTATTTTTGTGCAGGTTTTTTATGCTAATTTCATTTTTATTTTGATTTTTAATTCTGATGATTCTTCTCTTTTAAAATCTACTGTTTTGATCGTGTTTCTAATTTCTATTCTCCTTTAGTTTGTTGTTAATTTAAATTGTAATTTGAATTATCTCTGTATTTTCTCATTTGTGAAGCACTTTGACTGACCATGGTGTATGAAAAGTGCTATATAAATAAACTTTATCTTGCAAAAAATATTTCTCCAGTATTTTTTTTATTTTCTCCCCAATTTAGGATAAATAACATGTAAAAAAATGAATAAATGTATTTTGTACAGCTGAACGCGCTCGGAGGAGAACGCTAACTGCCAGTTCTGTGACGTCAGCTAACAGACGCCTGTTCTGGCTAGCATCACACTGGGTGATGGGAGGTGACGGGAGGGCAATCCCACCCACCCAGAGAGAGCGAGGACAACTGTGCTCCCTTGGACTCCCGGCCACGGACGGCTGTAGCATCACCAGGGATCGAACTCGCGATCTCCTAATAATGGGGCCAACGCTTAGATGGTTGCGGCACTCAGGAGCCCATTTTTGCTGTATTTCTAAACTGTGAAATGGGTCAGTTTGACCCACAACAAAACGGGGGGGGTTAAAAGACCTGAGCTCACCTCCGTACGCCACCGTCCCCTGAGGGTCCGTAGACAGACTCTCTCTGAGTTGCCTCCTCTTCTCCTCCGTCACGTCCAGCCCCAGATAGGACAGCGCCTGGAACATGAACAGCAGCATCATCTCACACGTCCAGCTGTGACTCATTATAACCCTTCAGAACAGCGGGTAGGGTCATAAGGAGATACTAACGACCTTTAGATACCTGCCAAACGTTTGGACAGACCTACACACAGAGGGAGTTTGTTTATTTTTTAATATTTTCTATATTTAAAAAAAAATCAAGACATCAAAACTATAAAATAATTACATAATTATGGCAAACATCAAATTGAATATTTAATTTATTTAGCTTTTGAATAAACATACACCCATGAAAAAGACGGCTCTTTAGTAAAGGCCATGGTTCTATGTAGTACCATGAGATCTATATAGCACCTTTTCATGCTTAAATGGTTCTTTGCATGATGAAATGGTTCTATATAGCACCAAAAAGGGTTCTTCTATTGTTACAAGCTTGACATCGTAACAACATCGGAACCCTTTTCGGTACTATGTAGAACCATACACAACACATTCTCAATCAATCTGAAGAACCATTTAAGCATGAAACGGTTCTTTGAGTGTTCATGGTTCTATATAAAACCACTGTCTTTACTAAAGAACCCTTGAGGAACCATCTTTTTTGTGTGTACTAAACATAAAAACTCTAAGTAATAATGAAAATACATTTTAATTATTGATGACAAAACTTTGCTGATGATAAAAAAAGTTTCTGCTATCAAGATGTCAAGCTTTTTGGTGCTACATAGAACGCTGTTCAAAAAGGTTCTATATAGGACCATATACAACACATTCTCCATCAATCTGAAGAAACATTTCACCCGGCAGGGAACCATTTAAGCTTGGAGTGTTCATGGTTCTACATGAAACCATTGTCTTTAATAAAGAAGAACCATCTTTTAAAGAGTGTATGATTAGATCAAATAGGAACTAATGAGCTTCAAATGGTCAGTTTTGACTTCAGGTCGACTTTAAGATCATGAAAAACACACATTCAGTCAGAGAAGCTGAAGAGCTTCAGTACCAGTGAGTCACTGACAGTTGTCTCCACTAGGGGGCAGCAGAGTTAAGGGCCCAGAATGGAAATAATAACAAAATAAGATAATAATAATAATTATTATTATTAATTATTAAATTAATAAACAATTCATTTCAAATACTGCCAGTATAATTTGCCTATATGAGCTGCACATTTTAAAAACGCCAGTTTACAAAACTGCAGCTGCCACAATACGCAAAACTACAGATTCACTATGTGGAGAATAAACGAGTGAAGAACAAGTTTAACCTGAGTATCTGAGTCAGTGAGTGTATCTGTTTCTCTACTACAGCTGAAGCGTACTGTGTCCACACTCATCATCAAAGTGCTTTCCTTCCCCATCGGACCCAGATCCTATTAATGCACCGCTAGATTAGGGTCAGCCACAGGATCAGTGGGATCAGATTAAATCACTGCTAAACAACTGCATTATGACAAAGAGCGCAGGACGAGGGAGGAGACAACGAGGCAGAAGACGGGGGGGGATCCGCCGGGGGGGTCTCTGAGTAAACCGTCTGCCTGGCACTGTGGGATTTTTCCACTCAGATACCCTGTAGATTCTACAGCAGATTACAGAGGATTAACCCTTTAAATTCACCTTATGTTTTCCTTTAACTACACGGTTTAATCCTGCGCTACCGAGAGCTCCAACAGACGATGAGACGCTTCAGAACCCTGAGTTTCAGGAACTGGAAGCTCAACTTAAAGACACTGAGTCTCATTTTGGCAGCCAGACCTTCACAGGGCACACCGGAATACTGTAAATGTGTTTGTTTTCATACATTTTCAGGACAGGAAAGTCTCAAATATGTACGAAAACGACAGAAAACCTGAAGGAACCAGCAAAATTGTCCTGTTTCTATTTTTTGAAATGCTGTATGTTTCAATTTTTAAAACTGAAAGAGGCATTTCTTTTAGTCCCTGTGGTTAAGATCAGGGTTAGACTTTGAATTAGGCTTAGATTATATATAAAGACTTACATATGTACTTTGTATGAGACATATTATTATTACATACAGAAACTTACATATACAATATAGACTATTTACAGGCTTCACACATACAACAAATATCAAAGCTGTATTATATTAACACCACCTTCTTTAGAGAAATAAAAACCTATTTTCCATCACACATCAGCTGTTATTCTTTTACTAAATTATGAGAAATGGATGCACAGCATTTTGGAATGAAACTCATGTACTTCATGTACATTAATAAAGCAATAAGCCAAGTTACATGTGAGGTTACTGTGATTTTATCATGGGAAGGGTGATCTTAGGCACAAGGCGAAGTGAAGTAAAACCTCCTTCCCTTTGATAAAATCACTGTAATGCATGGCCTCAAGTGGCTTATTGCTTTTGTAAAACAAATATAATTAAATATACACTTTTTCAGAAAATAATTTGAGTTATTATTAATAATAATCGACATCAACAAGTATTCTGCCAAGAAATGTAGCTCCTTTAGAGTATGGTATCAATGCTAAGCAACCATGGACCGCTGAATGAGGAGAACGTTTGGTCGCCCATCGCTGTGCACTGTGGTCATTTCATGATTTCTTTTTTTTACTTTTTTGTCATATAACAATGAACTTATGATATCACAGCACTGTTTAATGCAGAAACCTTCACTTTATAAGTACTTTTTGGTCACTAAATCGCCACCGTGAGTCTTATTTAGCACCAATCCAGCGACGCCCCTCTTCTCACACTGGGGCTGAGTCTCAAACAGCTCCCTGCTCCCTACATAGTGCACTACGTAGGAGTTTAAATACTGGATTCTGCAGCCCAACAGAGCAAAATACAGCTAAGAAATAATGATTTGGGACTCATCCACACTCGATACATGATGCACTGTTTGACTGTAGAGGATAGAATTTCTAAACGTTCATAGCTAGAACACTGTTTAGGGAGTACAGAGCCGTTTGGGATTCAGCCTGGGTTTGACGCGACTTCTGACTGAAACACGGACATTTGAAGTGTGTAAGACTTTTTAGACTTTTATACTGCAGTTTTACAGTTAATCACACTGTAAGTGCTTTAATTCAAACCTGTGATATTAATGATGGAGCTGTTTCGCCTGTTTGCTATCTTTTAGCCTGTTAGCTAGCTGACCAGCCTGGTTCTAGATCATAAGCCGCCCCTCAGTTTAAACAAACAAGGGGTTCTTACTTTATCAGTATACTCGGTGCTCCATGTGAGCAGCATTAGAGTTTAAGATCATTCCATTAACAGCAGAAGGGGTTTACGTGCTGTGGAGCAGTGATACAGAGCTCAGTCACTGTGAAGCTGGCTTCGAACGCGGCTCAGCCAATCAGATTTTAAGACTGGAACTATCCGTTTTATAATATGTTAGCCATTTTTATTACTTACATAGATGCATAGATACTTACATAGAACATATATGAGACATATTATCACACACAGTATATTAGATAACCTTATCTTGTCCTGGCTCATTTTATCAGAAACATTTATAGGTGGGTGATATGGCAAGAATATAATATCGCGATACTCCGAGAAACAAAAGATAAAAGATATGTCACAATATTTATTTTTTAAGACATCTGATCAGTTAGAACAGAGAAAAAATTAAAAACATTAAAAATTACTATCAAAAACTGTCAACACAATGATTTTAATTCCATATTTGGCATATTGCGTTGCCCTAAATCCAGTTAAACAGGACTAATTTTGCTCTCTTTATAATGAAACATGCGGTTGGTCAGTGTCTACAAGCACTGATGATATTTACAGTATGTTCAGAAAAGCAGATTGTTTCGTATTGTGACATAATTCATCACAATAATGATATATATTTTGTTTTTGTTTTTGTTTGTGGTCACAGACTGAAGCCCATCTGGTACTGTACAGTTTATCAGCCCCTCTATGAGGCAGGTGTTCATGCATGACCCCACTGTTCACTGTTTAACACAGTGGTGATGCTCACCAGGTCCAGCTTTTCTGATCTGAGGCGGATGTGGGGGTCCAGAGTGATCTTCGGTTTGGGGACTGTGGAGCTCCTCTGTGTGCTGGAGGCTGCTGGGATCAAATAAACACACAGAAAGACGGTCACATTCACACTGAAACCCATCTGACCAACAGTGATGCGGTCACTCTTACTCCAGTAGTGCAAGTTCACTGCATTTAAAACTGTGGCCTGAATTTAAGAGATTAAAAATAACAGAGAGACAAATGAACGAGCGCGATCTGTAGTAGAATAAAGATTATACACAGAGCGAGGGATTTAAACAGAGAGAGAGAGAGAGCGAGAGAGGGAGAGAGGAGAGAGGGAGAGAGAGAGAGAGGGAGAGAGAGAGAGGAAAAACATGAGACAGTAAGAGAGGTGGAAGAGGGTTAAACATGTGGCTACAATCCATGAATTATTTAATATCTACTATGAATTACTCAGTATCTACTATGAATTACTCAGTATCTACTATGAATTATTCAGCATTTACTATGAATTATTCAGTATCTACTATGAATTTTTTTAGTATTTACTATGAATTATTTAGCATCTTTGATGAATTATTCAGTAAATACTATGAATTTTTGAGTATCTAATATAAATTTTTCAGTATCTACTATTTATATTCAGGATCTATTATGAATTATTCTGTAATTATTAGGAATTATTCAGTACCCACTATGAATTATTCAGTACCCACTATGAATTATTTAGAAACTCTATGAAATACTCGGTAACACTGAATAAAAAGAATGCTGACTTGATTTATATACACTGGTTGAATACATGAATAAAGTATCACATCAATTCAATTCTTGCCAAAGACCCCACACACAGACCCTCAGAGTTTAAGACCCCACATACAGACCCTCAGAGTTTAAGACCCCACATACAGACCCTCAGAGTTTAAGAACCCACACACAGACCCTCAGAGTTTAAGACCCCACATACAGACCCTCAGAGTTTAAGACCCCACATACAGACCCTCAGAGTTTAAGACCCCACATACAGACCCTCAGAGTTTAAGAACCCACACACAGACCCTCAGAGTTTAAGACCCCACATACAGACCCTCAGAGTTTAAGACCCCACATACAGACCCTTAGAGTTTAAGACCCCACATACAGACCCTTAGAGTTTAAGACCCCACATACAGACCCTCAGAGTTTAAGACCCCACATACAGACCCTTAGAGTTTAAGACCCCACACACAGACCCTCAGAGTTTAAGACCCCACACACAGACCCTCAGAGTTTAAGACCCCACATACAGACCCTCAGAGTTTAACAGGTTAATTATTTGCTTTTTGTATTCTACAAGACCAGTATGGGTATTTGTTTTGTCCAGCATCCACCACCTTCCTCTCCTCTCTGCACTAGCAGACTGTAATGAGTTTGTACACCTGTGCATACTGTAATCAGACAACGTATCGGTGAATAAAGTGTTTTTCTGATTTCTCCTGAGCTGCTCTCAGCCGTGCGCACTCGTGCAGGATAAAATGCATCAGCGTTGGCCAAATGCACTTGAGTAAGTAAGCAGATCAGAGACAGTCCAGACAGGGCTGGTGTGAACGGCGTGTCTTAAGGGCTGCCATTCATCCGTGGAAAACTGGATTACAATCAAAGGGAATTAGTGCAGTTAGTGCAGTTCCAGCACACTGCAAACTCCGAATAAAAATACAGAATAAAACAAGCTGTTTTCTTTCAAACGCATCCTTCATCCCTGCACCGAGAACACAGCCACTCACTCAGAACAGCCTTTAATCCAGACTGCAGAGACAACACTACTGTTCTTATAATTAAGAGTCATTATTACATAATAAGCCAGATTTCTATCATCACTTTAACTGATGTGGGATTTCCAGTAATTAAGCTCTACACGGCCCACATACTGCAGTAACAACCCCCTCATTCACAGCCAGGCGAGCGGAGTCTGTGCCGCCCGCCGCTGCCCCGGGGTCAAGGACGAGTCACATGTGTTTACGTTAACTTCTGAGATTAATTAGTGAAGCACCTAAAGCTCCTGCAGTCAAATTAGTCTCTGATTTGTTGAGCTGCCCTGCTGGAGACCCTGAAAGACTTACAGCGACTTACGAGGGACGTCAGGGACAGAAATTACAGTCACTGAACAACACTGACGCTTTCTTTACAGTGCATTAAAGAAACACTGCAAAAAACAATGCCGTGAATTTACGGTATTCATTTTACAGTAAAATACTGGTCTGTTATTTTACAGGATCATACTGTAACATTCAGAGTGATGCAATGTTTTCCAGTAACATACCAGACATTGAAAACTGCAGTAACTTACTGGCAACAAATTTCCAGTAAAGAACTGTACAGGTTATTGCTGTAAATATTATTTTATTATTGTATAATTGATTAAGTATCTTACTGTATATATGATCTACCAGTGTCAAGACCACTGGAGCCTAATCCAAGACTGAGACTTTCAGAAGTCGAGTCAGAGTCAAGATCGAGTTCAGGTTACTTTTTTTTTTTCAGAATATATACAGGATGATTCAAAAAGATTCATCCGATTTCAAAGGACCATATTTTTTTACCACTGTAAGGCGTCTAGGAACCAATCACAATCCAACTGAAAGAGGGGGTCATAGAGTTTCTGACCGTCAGTGGAAGATGGCTCCCTTCAGTCTGAGAGGAGATGAGACCCCTGAGCAGAAAGCGTTCTGCGTTCTCCACTTCAATAAGAGTGAATCAGTCATAACTGTGCAGCGTGATTTTCGTGGGCAGTGAAGCTCCAACAGCTCAGAGCGTTCGGCGTTGGTTCCACAACACTGGATGATCTCCGAAATCGCACTGAAAGAGCCGTGAGTGCAGTGACACCGACATGCTCAATCCAGTATGGGATGAGTTTGACTATGGTGTTGATGTTGTCTGTACAGCTGGAGGAGGTTCAGACTGAGACCTTGTACAATTACATAATAAACTTTATGCTCAATTAAACCATTTACAGTTCACTGCATTGTTCTGTAATGATTTACAAGTGAAATAAATCATTTTGAAATCGGATGAAGCTTTTCGAATCACCCTGTATATACATAGTCACATCTGCTGCCAATTCTCCTCCTCACCAACAGAGGTCTCGCTCTCCTGAACACTGAGTTTCGTGCCACACCTGTTCCTAATCCGTGGCCATTTAGTGAAGTATTTAAGATCATATATAGGTTCATACACAGGCTCAGTGCGAGGTCTTCTTTTGTTGTTTCATAATAATTCTGAGTGTTGTATTTGGTGTTTTGAGACTTGGATTGTACTACAACACGGACAGGCTGCTGACTGGCCTGAGCGAAGGACACAGCACCTCCACACTTTTACTCCCCACAGGTTCCCCCAACACCACACATGTAATATAAATGTGTAGGGGGTGAACAGAGTGAAGACACTGAAAATGAGTTATTTTATACACTGATCAGGCAGAAGATTCTGACCACCTCCTTGTTTCTACACTCATTGTCCATTTTATCAGCTCCACTTACTATATAGGTGCACTTTGTAGTTCTACAGTTACAGACTGTAGTCCATCTGTTTCTCTGATACTTTGTTAGCCCCCTTTTACCCTGTTCTTCAGTGGTCAGGACCCCCATGGACCCTCACAGAGCAGGTACTATTTGGGTGGTGGATCATTCTCAGCCCTGCAGTAACACTGACGTGGTGGTGGTGTGTTAGTGTGTGTTGTGCTGGTACGAGTGGATCAGACACAGCAGTGCTGCTGGAGTTTCTAAACACCTCAGTGTCACTGCTGGACTGAGAATAGTCCACCAACCAAACATATCCAGCCAACAGCGTCCTGTGACCACTGATGAAGGACTGGAGGATGACCAACACAAACTGTGCAGCTGACTTTACCTCTACAAGGTGGACTGACAAGGTAGGAGTGTCTAATAGAGTGGACAGTGAGTGGACACAGTGTTTAAAAACTCCAAAACTCCAGTCTATCTCTCTCTCTCTCTCCTCTATCTCTCTCTCTCTTTCTGTCCCTCTCTCGCTCACTTTTCTTCCTCTTTCTCGTTCCCTTCTATCTATTTGTCTCTCTCACTCTGTCTGTCTCTATCTGTCTATCTGTCATATTTGTGGGAGGTTATATTTTACACCGATAGGCATCGCTTGGTTGGATGGTTTAATAAAAAACTCATCCAAACGCACCGAAACTCAACTGGTTGTCAAGAACCTTCGAGATTTGTAACGGGAACTTGGAAGTTCTCAGTCAGAGGGTCTTCAGTGTCCGGCCTCAGGGCCAAACGCGGCCCACGGACAGATTTTAATCGTGTCTTATGTTTCAGAGTGTGTTATAAGTGGTCCGCCAGCCAGTACGCTGCAGTTTTTCCTCTCACCTGAAGGTGGCAGCAGTGCTGTAAGATTACAGTGTACCGCACTGCGGTAATTAACTAGCTAAACACATTACATAACATTGTTTAAACAATCATCTGCCGGCAGTGATGTGATTCCGATATCACTGTGCATCCCTAACAAGTACTTAAGTGATTTCTACCATGGATGTTAAAGGGCCAATATAACAGAAAACAAATTTAATTCTTCGATTAAATGATTCTGTTATTGCATGTAATCACTGTTATAAGCTGTTATAAACAGCCCTGAACCCAACTCATTCTCTTTAGATACACTTCATTCATTTATTATCATTATTTTTATTATTTTAATCATAATTTTGTCATTTTTTTATGTTTTACCTTTAATTATTTACTTTACTGCTTTACACTTTTGTTGTTTGTACGCTGCACTTGGTTGCAGGTTTATTCAAACAATATAAAAAAAAAAACAGCCCTGAACAATGTTTTTGTGATGTCACAAAAACCAACACATTTACACATATCTGCCTGTTCAGGTAAACCACACTCATTTACTCTTTGAAGGAGGCAAAATACAGTGCAGCCAATCAGAACAGAGCTCATTTACATATATCAGTCTTAAAGGCACAGTAACAAAAACAGCCTGTTTAATTCTGAGGGATAAAAGAGGCGGGAAAATGGTCAATGATGCTTTTGGTAAAGAAACCACATAAACGTCATAAGTGCACCTTCATGAGGGTGGAAAATACAGGGGAAATGTAGAACATGGGCCCTTTAAAGCTACTCAGGTGTTACTGAAACCGTGAGCGCTGCCAGAGGACACTGAGGGTTCGGGTTTCGTTCGGTTCCACCTTCAGTGTGACGCTGCATATTTAGCAGGTGTGTCTCACAGACAGAGGGGTATTCAGTAACGTACAGAGACGCTCAGACTGAGACACACTGAGACACTGCAGCCTAAATGACCTTCTCCGAAAACTGTCCAACACTATTATTTTAGTTTTTTTGTTTTGTTTTTCGCTTTTTATTTTGCTTTTATGCACTTTATGCTTCCTTTTAATATCTGCACTGCACTGAAAAACATGCTGATTTTACTTGATTCAAATGTACATCGGTTTAACAGGAATAAAATATGTTACATCAACACAATTTTTTCTTTGTCTTTATTTTTCCTTTATGTAAAGCACACTGAATTGCCTTTGTGTATGAAATGTGCTGTATTAATATCTATTCCTCATTTCAGTTTGCTGCTGCTAAGGACTGGAACAAGCCACAAGCCGCATCAAGGATATTTTTAGTGATACTTGTACATGTTTATCATTTCCTTTTCCTTTTTTGTTGTCGTGTGCTTGAATTATTCAGTTACTTTTATTAATTATTCAGTATCTACTATGAATTATTCAGTAACTACTGTGAATTAATCAGTAACTATTATGAATTATTCAGTACCTACTATGAATAAATCAGTGTCTACTGTGAATTATTTAGTATCTACTACAAAGTATTCAGTATCTACTGTTAATTATTCAGTGTCTACTATTAATTACTCAGTAACTATTATGAATTATTCGGTATCTACTACAAATTATTCAGTATCTACTATGAATTAGGCCACAACTGTAAATAAGAATATGTTCTTGATGGCATGCCTGGTTAAATTAAAGGCTGAACTGAATAAAAAATTAACTCGCCTTTGAGGCTCCATTCGCTGTCTAATCAACTGCGTCATCACAGCAGGGATGAAAGCAGCTGTGTAACTCCTCCCTCTCCCTTTTCTTTACAGGTCGTAAACGTGTGTAACAGCTCGTACATTCACCCAAACAAGGACTCACAATATGTTTCTGTCTGACAACAAACACACAGACTGATGTCGTAAAGGAAGACTGTCTCCTCTCCAGTCATGAACTCCCATCATAAACGTTCACTGGAGACGCATTGAAGACACAGTGTGAACGGCTGAATGATCAGACCACTGAGTCAGATGTTAATACCCAGTATGAACAGAGCCTAATGAGCAGCGTGTGTGTGTGAAAAATCAGCAGTTTTGGTTGATCTTCCCATCACAGCAGTACCTGAGACATGGATGTCTGGTGGACAGACGTCAGGAGAGGACGAGGGCGCCGGCTCATCTGCTCGAATCTGTGAGAACACAGAAGCAAACACATTAACCCTTCAGCCTTAAATTTAATATTCAGGGATTAATCTGAAGATTAATGCATTATACAGTATAATTACTAAGAATGATTCAGAATCTGCTATTAATTATTCAGTATCTAATTATTTATTAACTATTATGACTTATTCAATATCTATTATGAATTATATGGTATACACTGTAAGCTATGAATTATTCAGTATCTACTATGAATTATTCAGTATCTACTATGAATTATTCAGTCACTACTATGAATTATTCAGTATCTATTATGAATTATTCAGCATCTATTATGAAACCAGTGTGTAAGTTGTGTAGTGATGAGAGTGAGGAACTGAAGTCTGGACCCACATGTGGGAATTTTGTAAACGTTTAAGAGGTTAAAAATCAAAATCTATAAACATTTAGTCTCGACTCAAACAAAAAGAATCGATGTATTATTGAGTTTTCTTAAAGATCTGAAGTCTTTCAGTGTTTCAGGGTTTGCTGTGCTCACCTCAGGAGACCGTACGTGAACTTTTAACCTGCCGGAGCTGTACCCGTTCCCCACGGCCCGCTGCACCCCGTTGTGTAAGGACCCACTGGAGGGGAACGAGCCTTTTCCCGGGATGAAGGCGATCTCCACCACCGGATCCTGACTGAACAGACCAGAGCAGAACCGAACGTGCATTTACCAAACGAAACTCACAGGGTGATACTTAATATAACGTAAAATAAACCACTGTCAGTGAAATATGTCTCTGATTTGTAAAGTCTACCACTGTTGTAATATAAATAATAATATTAATGAATTAGTATTGCCGTGAATCTACAGTTCCCATCCTCCCCTTTCCTCTTATCATTTCTCTGAAATTCCACCTCTCTCTTTCTCTCTCCGCAATTGCTCACCAAGTAAACAATAGGCCTCTTTCACCAACCATCATTAAGAGGAAATTTCTTCTTAAAACCCACGTGCGCAGTTTTAACGAAGATTCTGACAGTGTTCTCTTATCTGGGACTTGTTCTTAGGTAAGAACAGAATCTACACACCACAAAGGTGAGAACAGTTCTGTGCTTTAAGAACGCGTCATGAATCTGACGTAGACCTTTTCTTAGGATCTTTCTCAAGAACACGTTTAAGAACAAACTCAGGAAGGTACTGGTGAATGAGGCCCAGTGCTCCTATACAGGCTGTGTGTAGAACAATTTCAGTTTACTTCATATACATGCAGTTTGTGACTACAAACATACGTTTTATGTCTTCACTCATATAAACTCACACTTTGTCCAAAACCTGTTTAAGAATTCTATTCACTATTAGTTTATTTACTTTTTTGTTATTCCAAACTACAAAGGCATCCATGTATTTGAGTAGCCACATCCAATGAAATAATGTATCAGATCATTTAGATTAGACTATATGAGTCATGAAATAATACTTGTACACAGACACTTACAAATGCAGTGTCACAGCCATGAACTGTGTATTTTTGTTCTCCATTTTGGCAGTGTGTTTACATTTCATCCATAGGTGAGAATTCGTGGCTTCACTTCACTGTGTATGTTGTGATGTCATCAGCAATCTAGCTCACTCTGTGTGTATATACATATATTTATAAAACAGATAGTTCCAGTCCTAACATCTGATTGGCTGAGCCATGTTCAAAGCCGTTGTAAAAACCAATACCATGACCGCCTCACAGCAAATGAACTCTGTATCACTGCGCCACGGCAGGAGAAACCCTTCTGCTGTTAATGGAATAACCTTCGACTCTCACGCTGCTCACGGGAACCACCGAGTGTACTAATGATTGTTTAAACTGAGCAGCTGGCACCTTATTTTCTTATCTAGAACCAGGCTGGTTAGCTAGCTAACAGGCTAAAAGATAGCAAACAGGCTAAACAGCTCCATCATTAATATCACAGGTTTGAATTAAAGCACTTGCGATATGATTTACTGTAAAACTGCAGTATAAAAGTCTAAAAGTGCCTTACGTTTTACACGCTTCAAATGTCCGTGTTTCAGTCAGAAGTCGCGTCAAACCCAGACTGAATCCCAAACGGCTCTGTCCTCCCTAAACAGTGTTCTAGCTATGAAAGTTTAGAAATTCCAGCCTCTACAGCCAAACAGTGCATCATGTATCGAGTGTGGATGTGTCTGAGTCCCAAATGACTATTTCTTAGCTGTATCTTTCGCTCTGTTGGGCTGCAGGATCCAGTATTTAAACTCCTACGTAGTGCACTATGTAGGGAGCAGGGAGCTGTTTGAGATTCAGCCCCAGTGTGAGAAGAGGGGCCGCTGGATTGGTGCTAAGTAAGCCTCGCGGTGGTGATTTAGTGACCAAAAAGTACTTATAAAGCGAAGGTTTCTGCATTAAACAGTGCTGTGTTATCATTTCTTCACTGGTATACGACAAAAAAAGTTAAAAATTCATGAAATGACCGCAGTATACAACAATGGGTGACCCAACATTCTCATTCAGCGGTTCATAGTTGCTTGGCAACAATACCGTACTCTACAGGAACTACATTTCCTGGCGGAATACATGTTTATGGTGATTATTGTTAATAACAACTAATAGTAACTAATATCTAATAACTAATAATAAGCAATAAGCCACTTGACGGGACGTGCCTTCGCATCGTGCCTAACAACACCCTTGTTTTCTGGGGACTAGGGGGCTTGAAAGGTGTGGGGGGGACTTGAGAAACAAACCAAAAAAGTCTCCAACAACATCTACCTGAATTTAACTTTGTTGATGGTGCTCTTGGCCTCTTCGAACGTCACCCCGATCAGAGACTCTTTGTTGATGGCGATGAGCTGATCTCCGGGCCTCAGCCGTCCGTCCTGCGGGCGAGAAGGAAAGGAGGACAGTTTCATTCTGCTCTGCTGACCACGCCACAGCTGATAGCGCAGGTTCAGGTTAGAGCAGCGCTGCTCCTTTAGGCTCAGTCCGCCCAGAGCCAACTCTCATCTCTCATCTCACTCTGCAGCTCAGAACAGCAGCTCCATCTGCCTCGAGACGCCACAGCCAAGACAGCTCCACGTCTGCCTCGAAACTGTGTGGAGCTGTTCAGTATCTCTAGACTTGATTATGTGGTTTCTGTTTATAGCTGTGCAACCTACTTTTGTCCATTTCTTTGTCCAATGTACTGTTTTTGGAAACACTACATCATACAGCGCAGTGCCAAACTGCAAATATTAGACCTAGGCCTTCATTTCAGACCAGAAATGTCAAAATTCAATCAAAAACTGAAAAAATTACCTCTGCTATAATGCTAATTTCTACTATAGGATTTCCAATAGTAGGTTAGCACTAAGCTAACAATAAACAAGATTAAACACAGACAATTTTTGCTATCCAGTGTTGACCAGAAGTTAGCTACATTAACCTGATCCTCTCCAAAATAACCTGCTTGCCACTTATTATTAAAGGCAAATCAATTAACATACAACATTTTTTATGTGTCAGTTTATATTTGCTGAATTTCTGGGATGCGCTGCATGTTGGGGGCAGATAAATTAGCCAGACAAGTTTCCTAAATGGGCAGAACTTTGGTGATTGGTTGTAAATGCGGCTCCTGTGTTGATTCTCTCCTGAATGAGTGGCTCCTTTAGACAGATCTACTGTAGATCTACCTCAACTGCTTTACTTTCTATAAATAAATATATATTTTTATATTCCCCTAATTAGCATCATGATAAGCGCATGCCCAAATCATCATGCAATTGCTTTATATTGTGTTGAGTTGTTAAGTAATCTTTAACTGGTGGGGTATTAGCTAGAGGTCTGCGCAAGACTTTTTTCAGTCCCGTTCCTACAAGATTTCATCCCGCTCCCGCAGAATACTGGTATCATTTGTCCCGCCCCCTTCCGCAATCGAAACGTTTTGTCCCGCTCCCGCCCACGCAGCTCTGTCAAGGCGAAACTGACATCCATTATCTAAAATTACAGGTCAGTCATGGTCATCAGGCTCACCGTGAGTAACTTCACCAAACGCCGTTTTTTCCCAGTGAAACAAAAAGCAGGAATTAAACCACAGAGCGGTTATTTTTGGTGTTTTGCTGGGCAGCTGTGGCTGTCAGACTGAAGGCTCCGCCGTCTCTGTGAGCTACGAGAATCTGCATGCTGTTGCTCCGCAGCTCTTTAGAATGATATTTATTTTAATTGCTTTACTGTTATCATTTTATATTGTTTATATTTATGATTTAGTGATGGTTCCATGTGATTTCTCTTCATGCGTGCTTCATCCCGCTCCCGTCTGCAGCGGGCTGGTTTCCCGCCCACAAGACTGAAAATTCTGGTTTTGAAAATGAACACACTGCGTAACTGTTGAAGCCTGCTTGATTTTCTGCGCTCTATGGATGCGTTAAAAATCAAGCTGACCAATCAAAGCTCTTTTGTCACGGTTGTGTCCAAACAAATGCAGCAGAACAGCTCATCTTGTGCAGAGCTGAAAGGACGGAGAATGACAATAACTGCGTTCCAAAGTCTAGGCTGCACTTCTCGGCCGCTACGTCATAGAAGGCCGTTCCAAAGTGAAGGACCCTTCGTACACAGCCTAGAAATGCTGCCTACGCTTGGAGTGATTTCCAGGAACTCATGTATCCATCCAGTCCTTCGGTTACCCACAGTTCTCTGCACACGAACGACGCAAAGGAAAAAAAAACAGCAGAACGAAAATGACGGAAAACTAAGCCGTTGGACCAGAGCTTGTTTTAATAAGTTGTTCAGGTCTTTGAATTTGTCTTTGTTACCTTATAAAGTGTAAAACGACTGATTAATTAAAGCTTTCGTCCATACATCGCAAACACAACGCAACGAGCTCCATTCTCTCTCACCGTTCCCTCATGATTTCACGCCGCAGTTGCAAGAGGCGGGGCCTTTCTGGTGACATCACCACATAGCCTCGTTAGGACTGTTCCATTTGTGTCACCAACAGGCTACTGAGGAGGAGTCTTTCAAAGGACAGTCCCACCGAGGACCCGCCCTACCTCAGCTGCAGCCTAGGCTCTGGAACGCAGCTAGTGAGCATGTTACAGCGGCCGTTTTTCAGTTTATCTAAGTGTACCTAGTCTGTTCATGCCCACGAAGAACCGCAAACTATTCCCTCATGAATGAATAGCTTTTCGTGTCTGATGCTAAAAACATGCCACCTTGCTGATCAGAAAGAGAAGAGAGTCAACAGCTTTTTACTGAGAGGATAAAGAAGCAGAAGCCTCGAGTTCCCCAACGACTGACGAAAATACCTTCAGAATCGCTTGTTATGCAGCTTCAGCTCCAGTATGAGGCGGTGGATCGCTGTGTTGTTGTGCTTTCTGTAGAACAGGGTGAACCCAGTGTGAGCATCATTTAGCTGCAGTACTTAAAAGAAAAAAGAGGAATTCATCTTCATTGCTACTCAAGGAGTCAACTTCCTCTTCCTCTACTGTCTTATTCCTGCGTTTTCAGAGGGTTTAGTTAAAAAAGGCCTCCAACTACGTTACAAATCGCACCAGAGTGCAGGTGACAGTATGACTGTGCAGTATTTCCCCATAATAATAAGCAGAGCTGTATCAGGTGGCTGTGTTTCAGCACGGCGGCACTCCTGCTGTCCTCAGGCTCATATTCCACTGACCTCTACACACTGACCCAAAGCTCTGGGGAGCCTCAGTCAGACAAACAAAGCACACAAACCTCCAACGCTCTCCATCACCACAACACCACCATCCATCACCGCTCTCTCTCCACCAAACCTCCACACGCTGACCATCAAGCCTCTGAAAATGCTGGTAAATATAAACAAGCATGTTTTCTTTAGTTGTTAGCATTAACATTAAGCTTAATCCAGTTTATTTAGGGAGAAACAATTTCACACCTGTAAATATTTGTACCAATATTAGTGACAGTGCTGCACTGGGGAATGAAGCCAACAGGCCACGCCCACTTTCTACCCTTGTTGTCACATCCACACTCAAACCATTTGTTTAAACCACCTTTGTACCTTTGTTTTATGTAGCAAAACAGTCGTAATTCATTTCTACATGATCATTTTCCAACTTCAATTTATCCCTTAGAATCAAACAGGTTGTTTATGTTACTGTACTTTCAAGACTAATATATGTAAATAAGCTCTGACCTGATTGGCTGAAAAACAGTGTGGACTGAAGCGCTCCTTAATCCCTTAAATGGCCCAATTATTTTTTATTACACACTTCTATAACTTAGGAATAGCTCAACCAGTTTGCACTGAACCCCCTGTAACAAACAATAACCTGGGATTTTATATATATTATACATATATAAATGGGCCAAGCACAAAAAAGGCAAAACATTATGCTTTAAATGGTCTTAACAACAAATCATTAAACAAACAGCTGCAGTAAGTCAGTGTGGAGAGCTTTTCACAAATTTCTTTAAATGTTGAAGTTTTGTGTGTAAATTTGCAGACAGTCTTTTACAGAAAGAAGAGTCAGTATTGATCCACTCAGCACTGACGGCTTCAAACAGCTGAAGAACATCGCAGAGCTAGTTTGTGTTTAAAGAGAGACCAAATATTCTCCATAGAGCTTAAACCTGGACTCTGATCAGCCAAAACCATCATTAAAAAGACATTATATTTTTGGCTTGGCCCATTGTTTTTTGCCCACGTCACAGTCTCTACTCTTTCAAAAACTCTTCACACCGTTAACTTGTGCGCTCAAAACAACTACCAAGGCCCACAGTGTCCATGGAAGAGGTCAGGCAAGGCGACAGTGACTGGATCAGGTGCTGACTCTGATATAGGTTACCATAAGGACTTTATAGGGTATTTTTGTGTACTGGGCAAAACAACGGTTTCAGGAAAACGACGTGGAAAGCCTGATCGCACTGAACAACATGCTCAGCTCTAGAACACACGCTGAAGCAGACCTGGTGTCTGTTTATCATCACTATGGATTTCCCGAAGAGGAGACGAGCGCAGAGCTGTCCCTCTTCAGGGCTACGAAATCAGAAGAAATCGGCTTCGACCAGCGATTAGCACTTTTTAAAGCAGCAGATCTGGGCGATGGCCTAGTGAACGTCGGTAACCTCTGACGGCGCCAGTGAGCAGCGCATCGTGCGAAGGGTACTTTTCTTGCTTGTGTCGACTGAAAACTTACATGAGAAACTGAATCTGAGTCAAGAGAGACTGTCTGACATTCCAGTGCTGAATACTGAACAGATCATTCACGTGCGTTTGATGCCCGGTGGGCCCGTCTTGCACTTCACTAAGGTAGGACATTGTTTATACTTTGATAAATGTAAGTTATTTGCTAAAAATAGGTTTTATACTTACTATATAGTTGACTGAGATGGCTTGCTCCCCCCCAACATAAGTCTCAAATGTCGCCCATGCCCAGGAGTGCATACACACCCACATATTATATATATATATATATATATATATATATATATATATATATATATATATATATATGTATATATATATATATATATATACATAAAATCAATTTCCTTTATTCTGGAAATGAAAAGAAAATGTGATTTTCCATGATATGGACGGTTAAAATCTGCTCTTCACACCAGGGAACATACTTTGATGAACTGAAAGCTGGGTGCTTGTGGTAAGTGTGGTTGCCACTTTGGTGGTGTAGTGGTCAATAAGTGGTCTGGAGGCTCCCCATTCAACACTCTTGGACGTCAGAACTCAATTCCACAGTGCGATTCTGTTGCATTGGGTCTGAGGCTGCGAAACCACACAGACCTTCCCCAAACATACTTCTCCCCCCGCCATTGTCCCCCTTCCCTTTTAACCTGGTAGCCCCGCCCACATTAGCTCCGGGTCATACCATTATCCACAGTCTAGGGGTGACAATAGAACAGGCAATACACACATAAATCCTATATACATACATACAATGGCCATTTTCCTCATATATATACGTGCACATTTATCTTAGAAATGATTGCTAAGCTAGCTATATTTAACATTATATTTTCGTCTTTACAGGCACCAGCGACCTGGCTCCCACCTCGCCTGGATCCCCCTGGACCTCAGGTAAGTAGAAGTTTAAATTAATACAATAAAGTGCCTGTCAAAATAAAAGTCACCATAGTATTTACTGAGGAAAGGTGAATTGTAGTCCTGGTGGTGTGTAAGGGTAACTTAACATCATCACAGTGCTGAAGATAAATATTCTCACAGAGCTGCTTTATGATAAACTAAACCTGTGCAGGGTTTATTGTCTTATTTCACTGAAATAATAGATTGAAATTTATAAAGAAGGCAGGCTGACCTCAAACTGACCGTGTCTCCTCTGTCAGGTTAAAGTCTTGGGTCTAAGCGTAAGAAGACGATGTGCTGCAGGTGGTTAATTCTGCAGACAGATTACAGCAGCACAGGAACGTTCACTGTCCTAAAGAAGGACTCTTTCCACTGACCACAGCCAAAACAGCAGGGAGTGGACACCACAGATCAGACCCCTGCATTTACGTCAGACCCCCCGTGAGTTAAAGACTTAACTCTGCGCTAATGCATTACAGCTTAACCCTCCTTGTGCCCCCGTGGTGGACAAAGCTTCAAACACCTCTACTTACAGTGTCTTTAAAGGGCCAATATCACTGAAAACTGAATGTCCTCTTATGGTTATTAAAGTGCCCATATCCTACATTTGTCTTTATTTATAACATCTGTGTGGCTAAATGTACCACAATACGCTCTGATTGGCTCGTATTGTGCCTTCATTCCAGAAACAGTTCAGGCTGAAACACTCCTTATAACTTCAGGGTCAGTGGACAGAGCTAAACAGATGTGTGTAAATGTGTTGGCTTTCGAGTTTTGATTCACTGTTTTTGTGATGTCACAAATGTCAGTGTGATGTGTTAAAGGCACAGTAACTAAAAGCCAGTTTATTTCTAAGGGATAAAGGCAGGCTGTAAAAATGTCATGTAAAATTATTTATGAATTGTTTTGTTCATAAAACCTCACAAACTTTATATGTGGACTATGTAAAGTGCAAGAAATATGAAGGATATGGCCCTTTAATTATTTCTGACTCGTAACTCATTGAACAAGCAGAGAATGTTGATTCTACAGATTATAAACTTCCAATCCACATTAGTGTCTGTAAGCAGAAGAGCTATTATATTATGATTTGAGCTTGATGGGAAGTTATTGCTGTCTTACATACTGTTTTTTTTTCAGAAAAAATTAGTCTTTTACTGTCTTTTACTCTGTGTCATTAATACATACAGTTATTCTGATGGTTGAGAAATAACTTGAGAGTGTTTCCTTTCAAATGAGTAAGTATGTGGGAACAGCGCCCCCTTTATTTTTTTATACCATTTCAGGCAGAGATGGGGAGACAGTTAAAAGGACATTCTGAAGTATAAACACTTCACTATGTGAAGCTACATCCTGTGAGTGAGAGAGAGTGTGTGAGAGTGTGTGAGAGTGTGTGGGAGAGTGTGTGAAAGAGTGTGAGAGTGTGAGAGAGTGCGTGAGAGTGCGTGAGAGTGTGTGAGAGAGTGTGAGAGAGTGTGTGGGAGTGTGTGGGAGTGTGTGAGAGTGTGTGAGAGTGTGTGAGAATGAGTGAGAGTGTGTGGGAGAGTGGGAGAGAGTGGGAGAGAGTGTGAGAGTGTGAGAGAGTATGTGAGAGTGTGAGAGAGTGTGTGAGAGTGCGTGAGAGAGTGTGAGAGAGTGTGAGAGAGTGTGTGAGAGTGTGTGAGAGTGCGTGAGAGAGTGTGAGAGTGCGTGAGAGAGTGTGAGAGAGTGTGTGAGTGTGTGAGAGTGTGAGAGAGTGAGTGGGAGTGTGTGTGAGAGTACGTGAGAGTGTGAGAGATTGTGGGAGAGTGTGGGAGAGTGTGTGAGAGAGTGTGAGAGAGTGGTGAGAGTATGTGAGAGTGTGTGAGAGAGTGTCAGAGTGTGTGAGAGTGTGTGAGAGTATGTGAGAGAGTGTGAGAGAGTATGTGAGAGGGTGTGACAGTGTGAGAGAGTGTGAGAGTGTGAGAGAGTGTGAGAGTGTGTGAAAGAGTGTGTGAGAGTGTGTGACAGTGAGAGAGAGTATGTGAGAATGTGTGAGAGTGCGTGAGAGAGTGTGTGAGAGTGTGTGTGTGTGAGAGAGTGTGAGAGAGTATGTGAGAGTAAGTGAGAGAGTGAGAGTGTGTGAGAGAGTGGTGGGAGTGTGAGAGAGTGTGAGAGAGTGTGAGAGAGTGTGTGAGAGTGTGAGAGAGTGTGAGAGTGTGAGAGAGTGTGAGAGAGTATGTGAGAGTGTGAGAGAGTGTGAGAGAGAGTGAGAGAGTGTGAGAGAGTGGTGGGAGTGTGAGAGAGTGTGAGAGAGTGTGAGAGAGTGTGTGAGAGTGTAAGAGAGTGTGAGAGAGTGTGAGAGAGTGTGAGAGAGTATGTGAGAGTGTGAGAGAGTGTGAGAGTGCGTGAGAGAGTGTGAGAGTGAGTGAGAGTGTGTGAGAGTGCATGCGATAGTGTGAGAGAGTGTGAGAGAGTGTGAGAGTGAGTGAGAGTGTGTGAGAGTGAGTGAGAGTGTGTGAGAGTGTGTGAGAGTGCGTGAGAGAGTGTGAGAGAGTGTGTGAGAAAGTATGTGAGAGTGTGAGAGAGTGTAAGAGAGTGTGTGAGAGAGTATGTGAGAGTGTAAGAGAGTGTGTGAGAGAGTATGTGAGAGTGTGAGAGAGTGTATGAGAGTGTAAGAGGGTGTGTGGGAGTGTGTCCTCTCACCCGGTGACAGTCTCCTCCTGATAACACCTCCTGTATAAACACTGCAGGACCGTCCGGTTTGTTGGAGCCGCCGCCGATACTGATCCCCAGACTGGAGCAGCGAGCGACAGAGATCAGCTGAATAACACCTTCACCTGGGTGACTGAAACACACACACACACACACACACACACACACACACACACCACACACACACAGAGCGCAGTCATATATACAGCTGTGTGCAAAAGTTGTGCACAGTTGTGAGTGTAAATAAGTGAACACATCCTCTACTGAGACTCACTTCTGCACATTTTAACACACACTTACTGTTTATTTACTGAACATTGGAGAAAATTAACAAATACATAAAAGCTGAGGTGCATTTTTGTTTTTTTTTCCAACATGTTAAACTCAGCAAATAACCAGACATTTTCCACTGAAATCTGGTGAAAAATGCCATATTTAAGTGTGTCCTCTCTAATATGTCCCACATGTATAAAATACATATGGGGGATATTATTATTACTTATACAGTATTGATTTTAAAAAAAAAGTTGTTTTAAAATCTTGGCAATAAGAGTATTTTGCTTGTAAAGTATCTATATATGTTCGAATGCAAATTAACATAAATACAGTAAAAAGTAACAGGAATTTCTTACTTTTTAAAAAACAAAAACCTAGTGGATGTCCTGTGAGCTGGTTTAAAGCAAATATTCAGTTCCAGTTTTCACCTGGACGCCTCCAGAAATCTTAAAAATGTATTGAATTCAATCAGCAGCACCTGATTTAATTTAATAAACTATTTATTAGATAAAGCAGGAACTGGTACTACAAATAAGGGCTGAAAGTGGTTAAACAAACACAGTGACATCTAAAAATCACTACGTATTGTGTGATTTGTATTTATTGTAATATTAGTGTTTTTCTCATATAGAATGTTATTAAATGCCCAAAACTTTCGCACAGTACTGTATATAAAGTACATATGGGACATTCTTATTATTACATAATTACCTGTACATATATAGTACATACAGTACATGTATGTCTGTGTGTGTTACCTGAGTGACCGCAGTAATGGTCCTGTGTTATTGTATGTGCTCTGTGACCCAGCTGGACTCAGCAGTAGTGGACTCTGGGATCTGGACGAGGACCCTGAGGACGTGCTGTCCAAATATCTGCCTGCTTTTGCACAAAAGAAAAACAGGCATGAAAATACAGAACGTCTGATATAAAAGACTATAAAATACTGAGTGTGTCTCAAATCAACCCCTTGCTCCCACCAGAGTGACGTAACTGGAGATTTATTTATTTATTATTTATTTATTCAGTTATTAATCTTGACGCCTCTAAAAGCTCCCTCACAGAAAGTTACTACATGAAGTGGTTATGAATTCACTGCCTGATGACTGAGACACTGCTTTATGATAGTTTAGAGAATTTTGGCCTCGTTAAAGTTTCAAAATATGATATTAACCTTGGAAACTACCGTCTGGAAACTAAGTCTGTTTTGAATTGTTTTTGTGATGTCATAAAAACCAACACATTTACACACATTATATCCTCCTACTCAGCCTACAGCAGTTTAGCTCCGCCCATTCAAGATGAAGAAGTGGACTGCTTTTTGAATGAGGCACAACCAATCAGAACACAGCTCATTTACATACAGTTGTGCTTGAAATTTTGTGAACCCCTTGGAATTTTCTATATTTCAGCATAAATTTGACCCGAATCTTAATCAGCTTTTCTCACAAGTCCTAAAAGTAACGATGGTCCTGAATTTCCTCCATTTGTCCACAATCTGACTGATTGGTGGAGTTTAAACTCTTTAGAGATGGTTTTGTAACCTTTTCCAGCCTGATGAGCATCAACAGCTCTTCTTCTGAGGTCCTCAGAAATCTCTTTTGTTTGCACCATGATGCACTTCCACAAAGTCAAGTCAAGTCAAAGTTTATTTATATAGCGCTTTTTACAACAGGTGTTGTCCCAAAGCAGCTTTAGAGAAAATCCGGGTCCGAGCCCCCATGAGCGTCACTCCCTAAGAGCAAGAGGAGGATACCTGGAGAAGAACCAAGACTCAAAAGGGGAACCCATCCTCCTCTGGTTCACACCAGATATAAAGTATTAGTATAAAAACAAACAAACAAAAAAAAACGTGCTGTGAAGATCAGACTGTGACAGATCCCTGTTCTTGTAATAAAACAGGGTGGTCACTCACAACTGACTGCCACCCCATTGCTTGAAAACACCTGACCCTAACCTATCCTTTCAAAATATCTGCTAATCCTAAAGGTGATCAAATCTAATATTTCTCTCTCATTTGTTTAATTTGGTTCTCTTTATCTACTGTTAGAACGTGTGTGTAAATCTGATGAAGTTTTAGGTCAAATTTATGCAGAAATATAGAAAAAAGGGGGTTCACAAACTTTCAAGCACCACTGTATATCGGTCTTAAAGCCACAGTAACAAAAACAGCCTGTTTAACTGTAAGGGGTAAAGAAAGGTTGGAAAACAGTCATGTCAAATATAATTATGACTAGAGATGCGCTGACCATGAATCTGTAGGCTGAGTCTCTATACGGCTAAATTGGCCAGTGGATGATTTTTTGGCTGATTTTTATCAGCCTGTTTTTTAATCTGAAGCTCAGTGTGTGAAGACGTGAACACAGCAGCACATTTCCAGCACTTTTACCATCCAGACTAGCAATATAAACATTATTTGCTCTTTAATGAGCCAAACTGGCACTGCTGGGCAATCAGGTTCCTATTTAAACAACATATAGCAAAGAAAGTGCTGTACTGAAAGTGAGAGGCGACTGGCTTTGTAGCACAATGAGTCGTATATAATTACGCCACGAAATCTGCATACAGGTGTAGCAGCAGTATTCAAATACAGCGCCAGTGTTCTTACCTGCCTCACCTTATTTACCTCATAAAACTGCAACACAGATCAGCCGAAATAAAAATGATAAACTGGCCGATTGCCGAATTTGTGTTTTGAGCAAAATATCTGCCAAATCAACTCTGTGCACTCCTAATTATGACTGTTTCTGGCACATGAAAACCAAACAAATGTTATAACTGGACCTCTAGGGGAAAAATGGAAATACAGGAAAAATGTAGACTATAGACCCTTTAAATCCACCCATGGTGGAGGGATACATGCAGGGTGCTGTGAGGCAAAATAGTCCCCAAAGAAAATGTACTATTTTATTTATATTTTTATTTATTAATTTAATTTACATTTAATTTAATGCTATTTCACTAGTTCTATCTGACATTATATATATATATATATATATATATATATATATATATATATATATATAAAACTTGCACATTTGGTTGTATTTTCAATCTTATTGTAAATACTTTGTTTTTAAATTCTTCATAGAACCACATCCAAACATCCACAACAGCATCAATACCCATCAATACCCTGCTATTTAACTGCTTTAATTTATGAGAAAATTGGTAATTATTGATTATAATATTAAATAAAGAATTACCAAGTCAGAGCTGTTCACAGTGGTGGTGATAGGAACCAGACGTCCACCTCTAAAAGCTCCCTCACAGAAAGTTACTACATGAGATGGTTATGAATTCACTGCCTGATGACTGAGACACTGTTTTATGATAGTTTTGAAAAGATTTTGGCCTTGAAATCCATTCATGGTGGAGGGATACATAATATGCAGGGTGTTGTGAGGCAAAATAGTCCCCAAAGAAAACTTATTATTTCAGATTTTCCACTATTTTCCATCATCAACATTCCATATAAACTCAGAAGACTCGTGTAGGTTCACTGGTGGTTCTGGATAGTAAATAAAATGTCTATATTTGTGTTGTAGTCATGGCGACCCCTGGTTCCTATCACCACCACTGTAAAGGCTCTACTATGAACCAGTGAGCGTAAATATCCTCAGAACCAGCCTGCAGTACATAAAAGCACAACCAGATAATAAACACCTAACTAACAGACTTTTCTCTCCAGCCAATAAAACTTCGTCTAGACTGCCAAAACAAGCCGTCCAATCCTCGTTTGACCTCTTAAGCTATATAGTTCAAATCAAACTTGCTGCGGTGATTAAGAGGAGTTACATCATTAGAATATTCTATACTTAGGCAGTGAATACATTTGCCAGCGCGGGGATAAAGCGGCGATCCTGCGCTCCGTTCTTAAACACTTCTGCCAGCGGAGTGTCTTTTCCTCCGGCTCAAACAGATGTTCAGAATTGCATAATGGACAAGTGCGCTGTCATAAGCCATTTTCAAAGCCCGATTTATTCCCCCCTCCAACTTTAAAGGATTAAAGATTTAAAGTCTACAGATTTCCTTTGGCACACAAACACATTTCGCGAATGCGAAGTGGTAGCCGCTCGACGGTACGTGAGACGCGGAGGATTTCCCGCCGTTAGAAGGTGCAGGTGTCTGAAAGGTGGTTTATTAGCTGAACAAATTCGGCGTGAATGAGAAATCATAATTCTTTAAGGCATATTTGTGAGACTCTGTATCAGGGAGGGTCTTTTCTCCATGATACGCAGGTGAAATGATATTGTAGCATCTTCAAAATGTTCCGCACGTTAATTTTGGAGTATTGGTTCTGCAGCATTTATCCGCTAGGTTATTCAATAAGGACTCTTATTGTGAAGGCGGGCCTAGCTTGCTGGCTGTGTTCTATTCGATTAGGAAGAACTAGCAGAGAATTTGTAGAGAGGAGAATTACAATCTGTAATGTCTTCTGGGTTTCTCAAACGCTAGATGGCGCTCCTGGGCGAGTCCAAAATGAATGGGTTAAGATTTGAGCAAAATCATAGTTCATAAATGCTGAAACATTTTTAAGATATAATTTTATACATTCATATTCTGAACACAGAACAGCATGAAATATTTAAACACTGCTCTTATATTTTTAAGAGCTTTTAAATTTAAGTTATAGGAGTTTAAAATGGCGCCTCATGTACGTCTTTTAATGTCAATGAGCATGAACAGCCAATGAGCTGCTCCACTCGCCAACCATTCAGCACTCAGTAGCAGTAATCTTAGCGTCCTGCTGCCCAAACCCGTTTGCTGTTTGCTTTTTTAGTGAAATCCACCCTTCTACTTTGTAAAATTAAAGGAAAGTTCTGGGCGAGTGATTAGAAACTATTTTAACTTTTCATTTTTCGCCGTTTAGCTCCATTAACTCCCATTCATTCAAGCCATCTGGCATTTCACAGTCCTGTTTTTAATATAATGTGGGAAATAGGAAGCGGCCAGGCTCCTCATAAACCGGCTGTGGTACTAGTCAACCTAACGCTGATGGCACAGGAAGCAAAATGCAGCGAGGCTCAGAGCGAACTGTCAGGCAAAACTCTCCTTGTGGACGGCGTGGCTGTGGCCAACTACAGCTTTTAACCCTCTGTGGTCTGAGGTCATTTTTTGGATTTGTTCATATCTTCTTGAATTCTCCTTTAAAGGCTCTTCATAAAATACGATCCTCATATGTTTCATATCAAAACGCTCTGTCATCTTCATCACTACTTTTCAAAACCGCTGCAGCAGCTTCAGCAGCTGTAAACACTCTGCACGCCGTTTCACATGAGTCTCCGATGTGAACTGAATGAAGAATGAAGGGTTTCCGGCGTGATGGTCAGTCCTTAGTGATTTCCTGAGTGTCCATCGGTCAGTTTCACACAGAATGTAGACGGACACATGAATCCACCAGTTCCACACGGTGAGAGGCAGATGACGTGTATCTCAGCCCCTCTTCATAGGCTCATAACTCCAGATGCGAGTCTCGTATGATCTCGTGATAAGATGGGATGGAAAGGGCGACTCTACAGATTCAGGAAGTGTTTGAATCATATTTCTGTGCTGGATCATCACAAAGATACAGACACAGATATAGAAACAGAGAATTTGACTGGCAGGCGAGTTCATGGACCCCAGAAGGGTTAATAAAGCACAACAGCCTGTGTATCAGCTGTTCTTCTTCAATAGCAATAAACACTACAACGTTATTGGTTAATATTATTTTTGCTCTGCCCACTGGTGCATAGTGACATCATCAAAACAGCAGTTTGCATATAAAACACACTGGTGTGACAATCTGTGCAATTGTGTTGGTGATTAGGCCTTTGAGGGAGGTGGAGTGTAATTCAACACTATCTATGGTCGTGATGTAAGATGTCTGTTGTGTAATGTTGTTGTTTTTAAATATATTTGACAAAACGGATTAAGACATACAAAAAAAATCGTAGAATCAGACTAGCAATAAATAAATCTGTGTCAGAATTAGCCTCAAGCTAAATATAAACACTGATAAGCTAAACATAACGCCGCAGAGAACAGTGGATGTAAAACAACGAGCTTACCATGCTGAATGGGGGAGTTCCTCGTAGAGCCCGTACTGCCGCTGGAGCCGTATTTTTCTAGGAGTTCTGCGAATTCTCTCCTTCAGCAGAAATGAAAAGAGAAAATGCCATTAAGAAAGGACCCCATTACCAAACCGAACCTGAGAAACACCAGGCAGATGAGTTCCCAAAATCACATCAGGCATAATCCCAAACCATTCTGATATTTAAGTGACATAACCCAAGTTAATACCTTTAGATTACCTAAGAGGAGCTCACAGGGCATTGCAAAGTAATCACAAAATTATGACTCCTTTTGGATCCGGAAGCCAAATCAATCAATTTAGGCCATCCAAAACAGATTTGGGCAATACAAAGAGCAGTTTTCATTCGCTTTAAAATAATAAATCTTGTTTTCGTCTTGAAACAAAGGCTGTTTTGGACAATGCTGACCATAACACACTAGTAAAGGGTCTGGAAATTATACTGGAATTTCTGATACCTACAATAATTTACAGACAGTCTGTTGTCAAATTAGCCAACTTGTTTCCAAGCAGCTTAAAATACTTTATGGTGTACCACAGGGGTCTATACTAGGCCCACAGATGGACTACAGTCTGTAACTGTAGAACTACAAAGCTCCTATATGGCTAACATACAACTAGAATCCCCTAGGGGTGCTAGCAGAAATCTGCATTATTAAAGAGCTGTTTTTCCTTGTTTCTGCCCAGGTTTTGACAGGTTATTTTTTTAGGTATGAAGTGAGCACCATGCTAGTTGGTGGGCTAAAAGCTTACATTACACGTTAGCTCCATTAGCCTTGTAGCTCCAGTGCTACAAACAAAGAAGCAAACGTCAAACACCAAACAGGTCTCGGCTGATTTACTACATTTTGAGGAACATTAAAATTAGACTTCTCATGTATTAATATCAGAAAAAGTGAAGCTGCATTTGAATTGCACATGATCGCTTGTTACACTCTCTCTCCGAGTTCACTCTCTCTGTCCTCTTTAAATAATTCCACTCCATCTCTTTTCCAGCCTCAGCTCCCCAGACGCTGCTTGAGTGGCAGATATAGGGCAGCAAAAACATCCTGTCACTCTACCAAAAGCTTCAGACCACTTTAGCTGTGGAGAAACACTCCCTAAACTTAACTCTCACCTTCTTAACTGACGTACACCAGCGCAGTGTCCCTGCACAGCTTTCAGCCACGTCCCAATCACACACCCACTGTTTTAACCTGATTCTGTACAACCAAAACTGACATGGACTGAATCAAATCTATGCTAATGCTCATGCCTGTGCTGTAGACTGGAGACTGCTACTAACATTAGAACATCTGTGGAATCAAGAATCATTATATATGAATGAGATGAGAACAAAATTGATTTGACAAACTGCGTATGTATAAAAGAGACCAATTTTCTTGATTTTATTAAATTAAAGAGTTTAATATGTAAATAAAGCTAAAGGTTTTTGGTTTTTTTCTGATTTTTCCCCAATTTTCTCCCCAATTTAGTCACATCCAATCCCACCCACTAGTTAGGACTCCACCAATCACATGATACCACCAGCACTAGGATGGGCGAAAAGCTAAACACAGTCTTCTTCTGAGTCCTGTGAAACCACCGCATCTTTTCGAGATGTCATTGGACAGCCGAACGCGCTCGGAGGAGAACACTAACCGCCTGTTCTGTTACGTCAGCTAACAGACGCCTGCGCTGACTATCATTGTGCTGAGTGATGGGGGAGGGGGGCCATCCTACCCACCCAGAGAGCGAGGCCAATAGTGCCCTCTTGGACTCCCGGACAATAAAGCTGAAGTTTTGGCATGTACAGTTCACTCCTCAGTCCGTATCTGGTAAGACAGCCCATTTTCAATTCACTGTTTTTGTGATGTCACAGAAACCAACACATACATCCTCATATTCAGCCTACAGCAGTTTAGCCACGCCCACGCACACTGAAGTCATAAGGAGTGTGTCAGCCTGGACTGCTTTTTGAATGAGGCACAACACAGGGCAGCCAATGAGAACAGAGCTCATTTACATATATATCAGTGCTAAAAGCACAGTAACAAAAACAGCCTTATTAGTTCTAAGTGATAAATAGAGGAATATGGAAAATATAAAAATGAATTTTGACTGTTTTTGGTGCATAAGGTCTGTATCTTCACTGTCGAAACAAAAGCTTGGAGGAGACGAGGATAAAGCTGATCAGACTAACTGTATATGTATATATGTATTAATTATATACGTTATAAGGAGGAGATGAGAATAAAGCTGATCTGGCTAACTGTATATTTATATATGTATTAACTGTATACATTATAAGGAGATGAAAATAAAGCTGATCTGACTAACTGTATATGTATATATGTATTAATTCTATACTTAATAAAGAGGAGATTAGAATAAAGCTGATCAGACTAACTATATATGTATATATGTATTCATTATATACGTTATAAGGAGGAGATGAGAATAAAGCTGATCTGACTAACTGTATATTTATATATGTATTAATTATGTACTTAATAAAGAGGAGATTAGAATAAAGCTGATCTGACTAACTGTATATTTATATATGTATTAATTATATACTTAATAAGGAGGAGATTAGAATAAAGCTGATCTGACTAACTGTATATGTATATATGTATTAATTATATACTTTATATATAATATCCTCATCCTCATCGTCACAGGCTTCTCTAGGAGGATCTGAGGACGCTGTAAACACTGTAAACACTGTGTGGTGATGGAGGATCTGCTGCAGGATCATGTTCCTCTAAAACTGCAGCTCATTCTTACAGATACAGCCTTGAAGGCAAGATCCATTTCATCACAGCTCAGTGCAGAACATGTAAAAGGACTCGGTGTGTTTTTCTCCCTCGGAGGAGCTCCTGAGTGGGGATTAGAGGGAGGAGGTAGAGCGAGGTCAGGCGGTAATGTGCTGGGGGAATTACTGGGTGGGCGGCAGGTCACAATCCTGAACGCATCGCTCCACTAACATCGCAGTACTGAAGCAGGAGTGACTCTGCACACACAAACACACACACAAGGACTGCACATCCCCGACCTCACGACCACTCAGTTACGACTCTTCAGAAAACAATTAAATACATGATGAAATCTCACATTTCACTGTTCAGTCAGAACACATTCAGCTATTTAGTTTTGATTCATGTTTAAAAGTGCACTGAATATTCAAATGTAACTGGAGGAACAATCACTCAGTACTGCAATATAGACAATAAATTACATGTTGATTTTCTACCTACAAATGAGTAACACATCCTCTGCAGGGATCAATCATAAATATGACATTTTTGTGCACCAGTTCTATTTATTTGAATTTGATATATTGGAAAAAACATTAAACATAAAAAGTGGCATGAGCCCAAACTTTTGCACAGGCCACATTCCATGATTTATATACATTTATATCAATTATTTCATGATTTAAATAAACAAACCATGTCCAAACTGTAACGTCTGAGCCAAAAAGACAAAACAACACACAAATCAAATCACATCTAAACAGTGTATTTTATAGCACTGCCCTGTGTTTTCTTACTAAAGTACTTCAAAAAGAACAATTTTAAGAGGATATTAATATGTAATAAGCTCACAGCCCTGCTGTAGAGGATGTGTTAACTTATGTTCATTCAAATCAACAAAATATGATTTACAGTCATGTGCAAAAGTTTGAACACCCCCAGTTAAATGACAATTTGTTAATTTTCAGAGTAAAAGTAAGTGAACACGTCCTCTACAGAGACATTTATCAGCTATTTTTAGTGCACAACTTCCATTTATTTAGTTTAACATATTGGAAAAAAAAATAGAAAATGTGTCGTAACTTTTCGCACAGACCACATTTTATTAGTGACACTGTCGTTATGTAATTTTTATTCTTCTTCTTCCTTGTTTTCTTATTTTTCTATTTCTGGCGCTAACTCGTCCCGCAGTTTTCAAGATATCGACACCGTTCCGACTCCAGATTGTTCGGTCTGATCGAGAATGGTGTGCCTGTGTACGGCTTTTTGATCCGACGTACAGTTTTCGTACAATCTATTTTAAATTACTAATTTTTTCCCTCATAGGAATGAAAGCGGTGAGAAATTGCACAACCATCTACTGTACTTGTGCTCGACAAAAAGACAGAACATGCAGAGTGATTGCGCAGCGGAAGCTTGTTGCTGGGCGGTTTCTAAGGTGTTTCTAGGCATTTGCTATGGTATGAGGGGTGTGAACTGAGTGGTTGTTAGTGGGTTGCCAGGTGTTTACAGTGTCCTCCTAGAGAAGCCTGTGATGATGAGGAGCTTATAGAATCGACTTCTGTCAAAGTGTCCATTTCAGTGAATCAAACAGATGATTCAGTGAATCTGATTCATATACACTATCTCAGGGCAGGCTCCTGAGCACGAATCCAATGTTGTTCTGACCTGCACTCATTCGTTTGTCTTTTTTTTTTTTGTCCCTCATTTCTCCCATAGATTCCCATTCATTTTTGCCACCGCACAAACTCTATTACTTCGTTGCCCATTGCCACTAAGCTACATGTGCTTACTCAGAGCAGGACCTCAAACTCTACTGCACAGCCATACTGACCCGCACTCCTCTATATGTCGTTTTTTCATCCCTTGATCCTCCAATAGACTCCCATTTATTTTTCAAAACAACTAGCAACCGCCTATGTGTATATGTACATGTGTATTAATTATATACTTTATAAAGAGGAGATGAGGATAAAGTTGATCTAAAAAATTGTATATTTGTATTAATTGTATACTTTAATAAGAAGGGGATGAGGATAAAGCTGATTTGGCCTTTTAATCAATGCACACTTGAATCATCTATTTGATTCACTGAAATGGACACTTTGACACAAGTCGATTCTATAAGCTCCTCATCATCACAGGCTTCTCTAAGAGGATCTGAGGACACTGTAAACGCTGTAAACACCTGGTGACCCACTATCAACCACTCAGTTCACACCCCTCATACCATAGCAAATGCCTAGAAACACCTTAGAAACCATCCAGCAACAAGCTTCCGCTGCGCAATCACTCTGCATTTTCTTCAGGAAATGCAAT